GCGTGGGTCTTAAGGCCTCTTGCACCAGGGACCAATGTGCCATAATGCGTCCCTCTAACGGCCTGCAGATCGACCTGGGGATCCCGCACCGTGTCGCCAGCATGGCAACCAAGACACCCCGCAGTGCGGAGGGAATGGCCCTTCAGCTCTTGATCGGGAACGATAATGTCCCCCCTGGTGTTCTAGTGAAGGTGATCCCTCACCCCAAAAAATAAGAGGTCCCATTATAATTCAATAGGGCGGGCAGAAATGGGTTCAAAAATGAAGAAGCCCGTCCCATGTTGCCTGAGAACGTTCATTCTTTTGCAGAACCGACCCATGGAGCAAATTACCGCAAAGGCTTGAGGCTGCGCGCTTGAATCTCGAGAGCAAGGACAGCGATGGCCTAGGTTGTAGTTTGCGTACGGCCAAACAGCGTTGGCCACTGCAAGCAATACCGATCGGCGGGCGCCGTGCACGCGAGAGCGACCGCTGTGAAGTGATGCCTCCGATTGTCTTTCAGAACCAGTTCGTACCTTTCGAAGATTGCACTGTGCCAGATTACAGTACCACTTCACAGTGCTGTATGGGTCAATCCGTTCTTATCATCAATCTAAAAATTGCACTTATGTGAAATATACGCCTGGACTACCATTGATGCGTACAGTTTCATGTACTTAGGTGTTCAAAAAAGCCTTTTTCAACTTTCAAACGCGTTATCCTTTTTGTCCTCCCGTTGTCCACGCTTTGGTGTTAGCCTCGGGACCAACGACGCGTGGCCTACGGAGACTGTAACGTCTGGCGTCGAGGTTTTTGTTGCTGAGATTTGCGAGCGCTCATGTTCAAGACTATGTCACATAAAATTATCGCCAGACGATTTAGACTGAATGTGGAACATTTCCAGACAAACATAGCTACATTCGCGGGGTCCTTAATACCGCAATACAACTGAGGTCAAAACTCTGGCAAAGTTTCTGAACCCTATCGGTTTAGGTGTCCACTGAACTATTGTAAAATGAAGAGGGCCGGCGATTTATTTCATGCAGTCGTTTAATGCATGGTGCCTTCAGTTTATTGGCTATAAGAATCAGACGGAATCAATCCCTCCGTATCGTCTGGCTTTTGTTCCAATGATAAAAGGTAAAAATGTAGAAATTACAAAGGAAAGCACGCTCCGGTTAACAAATGGACCATATACGGTAATTTCAGTGGAGTTCTTTCACTACTAGAGGACACTTTTTAGCTCTGTGGCCTCCCCCCCCCCCCCCCCTCTTGACGAGGCCCTGGCTGCGCTCTCGGCCACAACAATGAACTAAACGATGCCTGATCACTCGCCGACTACTTGAATTCCTACTCACTACTACACGCGAATTCTTAGGCTTGAACCGAACCGACGTGCTCACCGGTCTTAAGCTCGTTGCGCCGGTCACTTATGCTCTGAGACCTACGCCCTAACCACCCAGACTCTGGCATGGCTAGCAAATAACACTTCATTCCAAATGAAACTTCCGAAACGAACATATTGCAGATGCTAATGAAGCAATGGGATTCATTTACGTATACTGTATGTGGTTTATAGCTTTTAAAGTTATACTGCAACAGCTTCTAGTAAATTTGGCTACAAAGGGTCCCGGTAGTGTAGTGGTTAGCGCGTCTGCGTTAACCGCTGCACGTCTGGGAAACCAGGGGTAAGGGGCTCGATTCACCGCGGTGCCCGCCCTTCCTGCCAGGGTGAGAGCCAGGCGACGTCATATAGCCCCAGCAGCTCAGTGCGTCGTAAAGTCCCAATGACACACAAATTTGGTTCCAGGTAACAAATTAGGACAATTTTTATAATAACAATTTAGGTTTCAAATTTCATCGGTGGCACAAAGGATATCCCTCCGGCCTGGCAGGCTCACCTATGCTGCCTTCCAAACTGAAGCCGAACAAAATTATCACGGTAGGAGGCAGCGCGTTGCCCCTTGCCCCAGACATCTATACATATATATATATATATATATATATATATATATATATATATATATATATATATATATATATATATATTTGAGTCGTATATTAATAGGTGACCTTTACTGTCAAAATAATGGCCTTAACTGCCAATTTTCAATCTTACATGAAACACTTCCGGCATAATTTTCCACTTATAATTTTCCACTTTCCACAAGTTTATTTCTTTCTCCAGCGTTTGCCTTGTCTTCTTTTGGTCGTGGAAAAGTAAGGGTTTTTGCGTATGGGTCAAAATGAGTGCCTTCTCAGTGCACGGAAACATCCCCATGGCCGAAATTTCCATTGAAGAGCTATGTAACGCACTACAAGCTGCGTTTTATACCCAATACTCAAAGCAGAAGCTGCCATATTGAACAAGGTTCAGAGACGGACAGACGACCGACACAATAATTATTGTCTAAGTTGTCGTGCTGTGGTGGTGACTTTTTAGGGTAAATTGATGAACTCTGAGGTCAAGCTAGGTTGTTCGGATCCCCCATATCTTGTGTTGCTATACACTGCAGATGTCGGGCTGCGCTCATCGGGCATACGTAATTGTTTGAGACGCTATTTCAGTCGGGTATCATTTGGATTGTATACATTTGATTTCTGGTAATTCAAGGCCCAACTTACTTAAGAGACTAAATATTTCCGCGGTGATTTAATTTGCCACACCGTACATTTGAAGCTATATCAATCAGCTGTGTCAGGTCAAACGTCACATAGTGTACAAGATCTTGCAACGGTTACCATGGTGCAGATCTGAACGCAACTAAGGGCAAAGCAGGACGTGATGAAGTGGAGCTTAAGAATTTCGAGCAAGCGACTGAATATTACACAAACTAGACACACTACATTACACAACTAGAGCAGCTGCAGCTCCAAGTACAAGTAAGGAACAGAGAAGCTGGGTCAAATTCACAAAAATGCTCCTCAAGGTCGTCCGGTGTTTTCTGGCCAGATGTTGTCAGGTCTCACAGACAAGCATGCACGGAACACGAGGTGGATGTCTTCACCTTGCAGCAGCCTTTTAGTTTTGCCTCGCAGGCTTGTTTGCTATCAGAACCCAGATCTCGGGTGCTGAACTTCTGGTGAAGTCGAAATCTACTCGAACTGTTGGGAGTCACGAGCTGCACCGAACTGTTCGGAGTCAAGAGTCGGAATGCACCCCATGCGTTGTGAGCCAGAGTCTAAATGGAATTTGCTGAGTCAGAACAAAATCAAGCACAAGCCTGCTCAGCACCACTGCCCTAGTGTACGGGACCAATGCTTCATTTACAAGCAGGCAACGTCCACCAACCGGATTCTGCGAGTTATTGGGGCCATCCGAGGCCGTGGGCTTGTTAAACTTCCTGGCCGTGGCCTTATCAGGAAAGAGCAGACGTACCTCTGGCCAGGCAGCGTGCAGGCTCACACCAGATACCGTCCCCAAAAGGGCCGCTCGCAATCAAGCTGAGCCAGCCGTGGCCAGACTGGCACCCAGGCCGCGCTCCGGGTCAGGTCAGGTTCCGCCGTGTCGGGGGGCGCCTCACAGAACTCAGCGGCTCGCACACGAACGGCAGCGGTGCCTCGCACGGCGCGACGCGGGCTACGACTGCGGGGACTGCTATCCTGACGCAGTTGACGGTCAGTCTCGACTGCAGATGGGCGCCGAACGCGTCCCACTCGAGGTACCATGCCGACCCTGTCCAAAGCTACCCAGCTGACGTCGGTGACCTGGTCGTGCACGCCGACACAGAGGCGGCCGGTGACGCCCTGCGCGCAGCGTGTGCGGCCAGGATGGTGTGCACGCCCTCCTCGGGCGGCCGCCCCCCCCCCCCCCCTCCCCCTCCGCCAGCTGGCCGCAGCGCTGGTCGGCCGCGTGGCAGGCCAGTGGTGCCGTGACCAGCAGGTAGCAGCGGGCGCCGAGTCCAGCCAGTCGGGCGGGCAGCCTGACAGGAGCCCGCCACGCCGGGGAAACATACACCGCGGGCGATGTCTGGTCACAGGTGCGGTCTGTGGGTCAATCATTGCGCTGGCCACTTGGCAAGTTATGCAGGCACCGCCAATTCTTTGGCTCTTCATTGGTATGGAGACCTCAAAAGATCGTGCCGTCCAGATTTTTCCAAGACGCGGTGGCTGTTATACTCCGTAATGTACTTCGGTCCTACCCATTCGAAACCTTCCTGCCGACTGGAATGACGCTGCCGAAATTTCAACTCTACTCTGTTGATAGAGACTAGTTTCAATCACCGGTTCAAAGTCGTGCAATTATTGTGGGATACCCCTTGGTTTTTTTTCCGCTGGGCTCAGGAAGTAGCAGCTGCCGCGGAACGGAATCCAGCCGGTGCGCGTATGTGTGTGTGTGTGCTGTGTTTGTACGTGTGTGTGCGTGCGTGCGTGTGTGTCATGAGGGCTTTGCGACGCATGTGTGTGTGTGTGTTGTGTTTGTACGTGTGTGTGCGTGCGTGCGTGTGTGTCATAAGGACTTTGCGACGCATGTATGTGTGTGTGTGTGTGTTGTGTTTGTACGTGTGTGTGCGTGCGTGCTTGTGTGTCATGAGGGCTTTGCGACGCATGTGTGTGTGTGTGTTGTGTTTGTACGTGTGTGTGCGTGCGTGCGTGTGTGTCATAAGGACTTTGCGACGCACTCAGCTGCTGAGACTGGTATTACCCGCCTCTCACCCTGGTAGAACTGCGGGGAATCGAACCCCGTACATCTGGTTTCCGAGGCGGCCAACTTGAGCACGACACTTCCGCCGCCCCCTGTGTGCGAGAACAACTGAGCCGTTCAGACTCAAGCTGGCCGCAGAACGGCGCGCTTCAGTAGGCGAGGCTGATAATAGTGACTCTCGCAGCTTCTATCTCTGCTTACTGCGGGAGCAAAGTATAGCGAACATCATTTTCCGTGAGTTTGCGGCGTTCTGTCTACGTACCACGGTCTAGGCGTTTTTTTTTTTTTGTTGGGTCGGCAGATCCGTTCATTCTGAAGGCCCGATCACGCGCAGTTTGACGGTGTTTCAGTTTTCCGGTATATTTTTAAAGGCAGCTGGTGGTGAAAGAATTTATTGGTGATCTACATTACAAAAAGTATCGGCGTTGACAGACTCAACCTATCAGTGCGACAGCTCTTAAGGTATAGAGATTATAACACTGGACATTTCCACATCAACAGAACACATTCTGCACGGGTTCAGGGCGCGCGCGTGACGTCATGGGTCACGTGACCCCTCCACGACCGTTAGCGCACGAATCGGAACCAGAGCACACCATGTGATGCAAGATGGAATGTTAATCGGACAAACACCCGCACCCGGCCTCCGCGCGGCCCGGCCGGCCGGGAGCCTCCCACGGCCGACCGTGACGTCACTGGGACACGGCCCGATCAGTGACGTCACCCCGCGCCCGGGCCGCAGCGGCGTGATATGGCTGTCAACGGACCGGCGCGCGTCCAGCGAGCCGATCTCGGTCGGGCGCTGGCCAGCGCTGGCCGGCGCGCGCGTCCTACGCTACGAGACACGGCCCGGGCCGAGCCACCGCGTCGGTGCCCCGGGATATGTGAGTGCGCAGTACAGGTGGCGACGGCGCTGCTGGGGCCGGGTGGCGCTCAGTGACCGGCCGCGACAAGCTACGCTGATTATGTCCACAGGTCAAATACCAGGCTGTACAGTCCACAGTTTAAACACCAGACTGCGCAGTCAGCGCCGGACCGGCCAGTCTGGACCGGGTCAAGCGATCTGCCGCTGGGCTGATCAGTCCAACACCAGACTGCCAAGCGTGATACCGGAGAATTCGCCGCGGCGAGATAAACGTGGCTCCAGACTGCCCGATCTGTCACTGGGCTACCAGGTCGGGTCGCCGGCCGACCTGACCCAGACTGAAGAGTCTGGTGTCAGACTGCCCCGCCCGGTGCACCGCACGGCGTCGGGTCCATTCACTGCCGCAGCGTCGGCCGCGGCAGCGCGACCACGCGCCGGCAGCGAACACAAACTCCACAAACAACAGCTGCCAACGGAGAACGAATCCGACATATAGACGGTGCGCTCGAGATGCGGCCGCGGGCGCCACCCCGGTCCCCTCGCGTCGCAGCCGCGCCGGCAGCGGCCGACACGCGGCCGGGAGAGGGTCGCCGGTTCCACGGCCGGCGCTCTGTCGGGAGTTATTGCTGCCGGAGGTTGGTGGCGGCACGGGGCGGTCGCGGCTCGACTAGAAGTGGGTTAGCGTGATTGGGGACCGCCCGGTCGGCCGCCGGCCCGCGCGGCCGCGCTCCGCTCCGGCCGCGCTCCAGTACGCCTGGCGCCAACACCGAACGGCTACGCCACGCTACTCTACGGTATGGCACTTGCCTGGGCGCGGCCGGCGGCGGCGGCCGGCGGCGCCGGCGGCGGCGAACGGGGCCCGCCGCTATCACAAGCGCGGCGCCGGCCGGCTCAGATGGCCAGGCTGTTGTCCCACTCGAGCTGCTGCTTGCGCGGCGGCGCCACGTCCTCGTCGTCGTCGCCCTCGCCGTCCGAGCTGTCGTAGTCGCTGCCGTCGTCGGAGCTGTCCTCCTCGCCGGTCGCCTGCGGCCCGCCGCCGGCCGCCGCGTCCTGTCGAGGGTAGAGCTGCGGTCAGTGTCGCCGGGGGGGAAGGGGACTGACGACGGGTCGTTCGGGTCGACAGGGCGTGGTCGCGTCGCGACAGTATACAAACGACGCCCGGTGCAGACAGCTGACAGCAGTAGCGCGGGCCTGAGGTGCTCATCTATTCCGCCTGAGCCGTCTCTTACATCCCAGCTCGCGCGCCGCCCCAGCCCGCCCATACCATCTCCCAGTCAGCGGGGACTGGCAAAGCCGTCCTCTTGCGGCGGCCCGGGCGGGGTGGTGTCGCCGCCGGCGCAAATCCCTGCCAAGGACCTCCCATCTCCCCTCCACTCGCCCGGGATCTGCAGGCGAGAAAACAGGCGCCGCACGGCGGCCCGGCGCGTTCTCCTCCGGGGACCGACTGGCCGCGGCGCCGCCAGCCAAATTACACGCCGCTACCCAGCCATCATATTTCCAAAGTGAAAAACGAACGGCTGCGGCGGCAGCAGCGTGAGTGGAGAACGCAGCGCTGAATAACGCGAGGAAAGTAGGCCTGGCGATGAGAACAACAAATGAATGGACGCTGGAATGCTGTCGTAAGCAGACGAGGCCAAACAGGGAGATGTTGGCGAATCGGGCAGCTGACATCGCTTCTCAAAGAAGCGATGGTAGCGTTAGTCCTCTGTGTACAGCCCAGATATTGCTGCTACGCATGCATGCATATACCTGAATGCATTGCACGACCCATGCACATGCACATGATCGGCACATGCCGCGCACAGTAAAATGTACCGACAGCGGTCAACCCAGGTACCGATGCAACCATCCAGCCAGGCTGGTTGCCTCGGGTTAATCCCTGTGCCCGCCCAGGCCCAAGCAAGGCCAAATCCGGCTGCAACAAACCCATAGCCGGCTGCACCCAGCCGGCGGCCGTTTGAGGGCGGGGCAGCTCTCGGAAAACTAATCTGTCGGGTCGGATGCCGCCGGCCACTATCCGCCCAGACGAGGCGATATTGAAAGGCGGCCATCGCCGCAGGACACAGGGGATCTCCACTGCGCGGAGAGCGCCGATGGGAGCTGGCAGTGTGGCTACCGGCGGACTGACGACGGCGTTCATACGGAACGTCGATGAAGTGCTGGGCGACGTGTGAAACTGAACACCGGCGGCGTGACGACAGAACATCATGCATCGATACCAATATATCGACTTAAGAGCTAATTCACCCCATCATTCCGCGTTGAATAGGTCCCAAGCCCGTACACTACCCTCAGTCGCCTTCCTGTAATGTTCCCCACCTCACTGAGGCATCTGCTGCTCCCCACCCGTCGGCTCCTAGCTCCTCAGCCTCTCCAAAGACAGACGCCGACGCTGACCCTGACCCTGACGCTGACCCTGACGCCGGCGCTGACCCTGACGCCGACCATGACCTTGACGCTGACCCTGACCCTGACGCTGACGCTGACCTTGACCCTGACGCTGACGCTGACCCTGACCCTGATGCTGAGGCCTCACCTGCTCCATGGGGTTGACGGTGATGTTGAGCGCCGAGTCGTCCCAGGCCATCTCGGCGTCGGCCGACTCCTCCTGGTGGCGGTGGGCGGCGCGGATCCGGATCACGCCCAGCACGATCATCGACACCAGGAAGCCGATGCACACCACGATGATGATGGTGACCGCGTGGCCTGCGGTGCCGGCAGACGCGCGCGCCTCGTCAGACATCACCAGCCGTGCTCATGCGCGCCGCACATCGTCAACGCTACGGCGCTCAGAACAGGTGTCAACATTCCCGCCCCCCCCCCCCCCCCCACGGCGCCCAGCTCCTGCGTCTACTGGCATAAATGGCAAGCGTCTGTTGTCCGGTTAACCTGCATCGTCCAAGCTACTCACTGGGCACAGCCCGCATCTAGTAGACGAACCAGGATTTGTGCTGCCCTGAGGCAGCTCGCTTGCCCTACTCACCCTGTACTAGAGGTTGGCTATGAGGCGACCCTTTGCAGTGCAGCCTCCAACTCCCATAAGGTCACATATGACGTCATTTGCACCATCCCGGCCCCTCCAGCGTACCTGAATCTCGCTCACCCTCCCCACATCACCAGTGAGTTCCTCCGTGTCCGCGCAGCACTCTAACACTTTAAACTTCTAGAAGTTTTGAATGTCTCCGCCGGAATTTGAAAGGCCCGGAAGAGGCTCCCAGCCCCCTCCCGCCAACCGTCAGCGCGATTCAGCGCCACTCAGCGCAGCCCAGCGCCACTCAGCGCGACCCAGCGCCAGTCAGCGCCACTCACTCGCTCCGGCCGAGTGCAGCTGATGACCGGCCGTCCACGACTTGAGCTGCACGTGATGGCGCGCGTCCTGTATGTGTGCCACCGGCGCCGGCACGGCCTCATGCTGGGCCGGCGCGGCGGCAGCCGGCTCCTCCGGGGCGGCGGCGGCCGGCGGCGCGGCCGTCGTCGGCCGCTTCGGCGGCTCGGTGCGGCGCGCCGGGTGGATCACCGTCAGAGTCTGCACGTACTCGTTGCTGATGAAGCGCTCGCTCATGCTCGAGCAGAGCAGTTTGAACGCCCGGTTCAGGTAGTAGGCCGGCTTGCGGTTGGTGTACTGGACGTAGCGCAGCGCCTAGGCGAACGGAAGGGGAGGGGAGGGAGTGAGCGACGACCAGCGCTGGACAGACGGGCACATTGTGTGGAGGCTTGTCACGGTCAATCGGCTCCACGATATTCAGATGGAAAGTCCTGTGGCCCCCGTCACGTGGACTCAAAGCCAAATTACGTTGATAGATGGGATTCCGCATGCTTCTCATAAGACGGTGCGTCGAAATAATACAGAAAGCTTTTCAACTTCTCCACTTAAGTGGAACCTAGTTAAGACATGGCTGAAGTCCAACATTCCCAGGCCTAGCGATGTCTGTGACCGGCACCTTCTTGACGGTCACCGCTTCCCGATAACTCCCAGAGTTCCGGTTCATCTCCTGATACTCCTGACCTGCACTCGCCGGCAGCGACCAGCATCCTGGCAGCTCTGCACCGTCCTCCTGACGCCGCTCGACTCCTGTCGCTACTCTCCCGCCCCGGCCCGTCACCCACCTCCTGGTACTTGGCCGGCTGCCCGGGTCCGTGGACCACCAGACCATCCTTGTTGAGCTTGGCACGCAGCTGCAGGTCCTCCAGCAGGCGCTGGTTGAGCGCCAGCGCCTCATGCTCAGGATTCAGCGGCGGGTACACCGTCACTGTGCACTTGTCCAGCTTATGGTCGCCCTGGCGAACCGCTGAAACGGAAGCGAGCGGGTCAGGACTCAAGCGCGCGCGTGGTGACACTTGCACTCCGGCCCACGGCAGAATGGAGACAGAGCATGGCAATAGAACGCCTATGCACGGAAACAGAACAGGATGCTCACGCCTGCGAACGCACGCGAACGAAAGGCAAACGATGTGATACGGTGAGATATCGTAGCGCGGTGCTGGCATGTGCGACGTGATGGCTGGCTGAGTGCGGATCGCCGGACGGGTGACCCGATACGCGGCATAATGCGGGCCACTGAGGCCGAAGCGAGGTGTTTTCCCGGAGGCTGAGCAATCTCGGCTCGCCTTTCCATCGTGCGCCGTTCCAGCCCGTCGTCACCCTTTCAGAGCAAACGCCCCTTATTAATTTTCCTTTCCAGACGGCCGCGTAGCTCGCTATCATAATAAAAACGTTCGGGCGATGAGCAATATCTCATAAAGGACAGGCTCAAAGGGCGGCAGAGATGGGTGTCGAAACAATTTGATGCCGGGCGAACAATTTTCCGCCGGCCAGCCGGCGTCAATGCCCGCCGGTTGCGGACGCACGGCACAATCAGGCCGGGTTGGGCCGGGCGGTCCCTTATCCGCCGCCAAAGGTCAGGCAGCGCTGCCGCAAAGCTGGCGCGTTCCCTATCAGCCGGTGCCGGCCGCCGTAATGACATCGCGACCACCGCCGCCGCGTGACGCGTGTGGCACGTGACGCCCGGCCGACGCCCGCTTCATCAGCATGCATGCCCGGCCGGCCGGCTCGGGGCACGATATGGTGACACGGCCGGGTCGCCAGGCCGCCGGCGGGAGGGGCTGAGGGGCGACCGCAGGTGGCCCGCGACTCTGATCAGTTGGCGGCGTAGCGGGCTACACTTCCCCAGCAATCTCCGCCAGGGCGCGCCGGCTACAGCCCGTCTGGACGTGAGCCTCACCCTTGTGACGGATTGGGTGAGCACGTGACGTGAAGCCTCACGTGATCTGACGTCTCCTGCACCGGCGGCGCTCGCCACTCTGGTCAATAACTTGCTCACGGATGTAGGTAATATATATATATATATATATATATATATATATATATATATATATATAGCAGGTTATTGACCAGAGTGGCGAGCGCCGCCCGTGCAGGAGACGTCAGATCACGTGACGCTTCACGTCACGTGCTCACCCCATCGCACAATCGTATGTGCGCAGGAAGGCGCCGACGGCGAGCACAGTCGACGAGGCCTGATCAGAGGGAGACGCCGACCCGACGCCGACACTGCGGCTACACTGACCGACACCTCAGCGTCGACACACGACAGCTCCGCAGAGAAGCCCTCGAACTGGGCCTGACCACAGGCCTCCGCCTTCGCCCATCCTACGCGCCTCTGCTCCACCTGCTCACCTACTCACCTAGTCACCTATTCAGTCTACCGTTCCACCCAGCACGGCGTCAAGGACCCGGCCTCTCGATACCCTCTCTCCTCGCTTGGTGAGTTGCAACAGCTCACACCCGTCGTAAATGGCACCATTTACGAGGACCTCGCTCGAGGAGCACGTGAGTTTGACTTCTAGTTTGTTTTTCACATATTTAATTAACAGGATGAGTCACTGAATCCAAGCAGCAAACGCTCTACACCCCTACTGTCACGCGCCAACGACGGGGTTAACATCTCCAGATCTGCATGCCATGGCGGTGGCGGTTGGAGAGCGCACTGAGCGGCGGCATACCGTTCACACCCCTAGATCCGCATGCTCTGACAGAAGCGGTTGCAGAGCGCCCTGAGCGGCGGCGTACCGTTCAGCTCCATTTGGTCGGTGCCGGCCAGGATCTTAATGTCAGGGAACACGGCGACGCCCGTCTTCAGCTGCTCGTAGTCGTCGGAGAAGTTGTCGGTGCCGTTGACAGCGATGTGGAGGTAGCGCGGCTGACGCACTAAAACGTAGCTGTCCACCACTGGGATCTTCACCACCTTGCCGCTGGTGCACCTAGGCGGGGCAGAGGCGGTGTCAGGCACGCCGACAGGGAGGGAGCACGATATCAACGTGGACCTGGGCAAGTGAGGCACCCAGGGAATATAGTGTTTTGACAGGGACCTGGACGGAGGCAGAGGCGGCGTCAGAACCGCAGTCAGGGAGGGACCTCTAACAGAGGCGCACAGGCGCGCTCCGCACAGGCGACGCCACAAACGCTACCGGGAAGGACGGCAGGCATGTTTCCTTACGAAAAAAAAACAATGCAAAAGGACGGCACAGACGGCAAGAATCACAGCTCAGCTCCACCATGGCATTTGTTTGTTGGCCAGAGTTCGGCGGCGGTCATAGGGTGGCCCAATCCACATGTCCTCAGAACGCCCCCTGAGCGTGGTTACCCCGAACAGATAAACTCCCGCGGAGGGTTTGGCTGTGCACGCTAAGGCCGCACACTCCGCCACAAGCGCCAGCCCAATGCGAGCGTGTCCACCTCGCGCTGGCGTCCCTGTCTTGCATCATGCCACGCGGCCCACTCGGGCTTAAGCGGGTATCCAGCTGATCCGCGCGCGTCCCGCTAAGACCCTTCTCCCATCCGTTGGGCAGCAGAGACGGCGGCCGTGGAGCCTGCACTGACGACTGGAGGCAATGACGCTTCTCCCGAGTCATTACGTGGCGCAGCCGCTCCGGAGCCGTCTGCTCGCGCCAATTACGGCCGAATCGGCCCGAGTCTCTGCGACGACACCTCGTTACCGGCACCGCCGCGCCGAACAAATCAGCAGCGAGTTAAGACGAGCGTGGTCCGAAAACGCCCCGCTGATTGGCGCCGCGCGACGGAGAGCAGCTTCGCCAGAAGCGGCACAAACACCACCTGATGCATCGCTCGGAGAGCTGATCAGTTCGGCAGCCGTCGGCTTGGGTATGAATGATTCGCATTCTCCTCAGCGGTCTGGCACCGAAAGACATTGCATAATCGGACGCTACCTCTGCCTGGGTGAGAGGACGCCAACAGTGCTTTCGAGCAGAGTTTCACGTCAAGACGGCGGTCAGAATCTAAGCACGTTACAGCCTGGTGCCGAGTTGAGGACTTAAAAATCACTGCCGCTAGAGTAAACCTCGCACAACTCTTGCTGCGGGCGCTCCCACCCGCCGCGCCCCGCAAAGCGCAGCCCATTAGTGTGTTTACTGCGTGAGTCTCCTCGTCGGATGATCAAAAGATTGGAGCGGCTTCGGCTGGCTTCACAGGTTCTGACAGCAGGCTATCATTCCCAGAAACGCTGCAGAGCCCTCGCGTCCGGCGGGACTACCGCGCCAATCGCCGGAAAGCGCCCCGCAAGGCTGGCAATCACTTGCAGCGCCCTCTGGGCTATGAGTCGAGCGACAACGCTGATCGAGTTTCAGTTTGCTTTGTCGAACTGGCAGCACTAAAAACAGTGGCTTCCCGGTAAATGTGCGTGACGCGAAGATGCGTGTAACACTTGGGTTACCTTAAGTTTCGTGGTTAAGCCGCACCTCAGGGCAATCAGATGCTCAAGATTCGATTCCCCGCGGTGTCTGCCCTTCCTGTCAGGACGAGTGGCGGGTGACACCATATAGCCTCAACAGCTGAGAGGGTGGTAAATCCTCATGGACACGATGCCATCGCCCCAGACCGTCCAAACATTATCAGTGGATCCTCGTAAATTTACACTGAACAGGACGGTCAAAGTCCTAATTTGGATCTACTTACCACGATTTCGCTACATCCCAGACTCCCTTACTGTTTTGCTGATGTTTGGTTACGTAGGCAGGCCTTTCTACATATTATCTGCAGAGCAATATACGAAGTATGTAAGTACCTACCAAGCCAATTACACACAATTTAGCAGCTTGCCTCCATACCCTCGGTATTGGACGATTCAGTTTCTACAGGTCTAGACGTGTGGCGCCCACTGCAATCCTAAGAAAGTACATATGTGGTTTATTACTGAGGACCATTAAGCAACATGCGACTCCAGTCCTAGACAGTTTTTGCGCCATTTGTACGGCAAGGTCCTGTGTTCAACGAAGAGTTCTTCCACAAAAACTTTTGTCCCCAATCTTTTTTTTTACCTCCAGGAACATTCGACTTACGCGATCTTTGGCACAATTACTTTTTCCCTGTGCGAACCTTAGAACGACGAAATTTTCTGCTGGTCAAAATTTTGTCTTGGACTAACCTATGCTATGGACGAACGATTGTCCTTTAAGAGCGCGACGCACTCTTACCCCCGACGGACTTTGTTTAGACGGACTCTGGCCCCGAAAGAAATTTAGCGTCGTGGCTTTTGTCTTTTGCGAACTTTCGTCCCCGTATGATTTATGCGCGACGAACTTCTGCGCGACCAACTTCCTTCCGACGAAATCTTGTCCATTAATTTTGGTCATACGAAGATATGTCCGAAAATGGAATCAAGGCAATCCACCGATACTCGCATGAAGAGTAATATACTGATCGACAAAAATCGTGCAACCCAAATGAAGACCCAACGATGAATTCAATCCCATCACTTACCAGCCGAGTAACTACCGGAGTTGAACCGGAGGAGCATAAGCACTCCATCGACAAACCCACCGGCGAGCTATCAATCACCGCTTGAAGCACGCACTACGACGGAATCTTTATTGCATCGTTGGAAGGTGACGAGGACTGGAACTACCGGACAACAAAGCAGTTTACTCCACGAAAACTCCAAAACCTCTCACTCGATGCCAAGCATCGGCGAGTTTCCACGCGTTTGATCGTGACGACGCGCAGGCTGGGGGCCGCGTGGTCCAATTTGTCAGGTGGTGACCCCGCTGCTGGACCAGAGGAGGGGCGGAAACGCTCCAGTCCAACCAACTGTGGCTGATCCCACTCAAAGACTAAAAATGGATAACGTTGAGCACCGACGCCGGAGGCAAGAGGCGACCTTTTGGTCTCACAAGAACAAACCTGTATCGACGAGACAGTATTAGTGGCCTTATTGTACAAGGAATAAGGTATTAGACTCATCGGGCGCATACTTAGGAATACACGTCAAAACGACATATCCGCTGATGCAATCACGCACGCACGCACGCACGCGCGCACGCACACACACACGCACACACGCACACGCACACGCACACACACCACACACACACACACACACACACACACACACACACACACACACACACACACACACACACACACACACACACACACACACACACACAACACACACACACACACCGCTGTAAGCAACAACACAAAATGAACATCCACAACTACCGAGCAATATGCATGCGCGCATCGCCTCGTGCGGCCACGCAGAACACCATTCGACGCACATGCCAGGCCAACGTCCCAAATGCGGCGAGCTCGGCGCGGTGCGCTTCCGGTGCAGGTGGCAATCAGCTGACGGTGAGGTCAGCTGTCACCAGTAGAACTCCGTGCTAATATCGGGCGCGGCTGGAGAGGTATCCGGCTGACGCCAGCCTCGACGGGGGAGGGTTCGGGGAGGGGGGCGGGGAGGGGGGAGCTCGCACAGCCGGGGCTGGTGGAACGAGAGCGGGTTCACTCTGGGGCGCCCGGAGGTAGCGTATCGCGCCTGGAGGCAGCAGCCTTGATTGTAGAAACGACGGGAACCGCGTGCGATTATAGAACGTCGTCTGACAGTTGTAGATGTGAGAAGCGAAGCATGCAACGAGCCAAGGCAGGTTTCATCATCCCCCTGCTCCGTCAAGATGCCCTCTGAGCTGACAGATTAACGGGTGTCTTACGGAGAAACCATGGCTTTGGTAACCTGAGCGGATTATTCACACGCTTCCCAGTACGCTCTATGGAAGACCCAATGCGCGCGTCATCCTGCAAAGACAGCTGAATCAGCGCCCCCTCCCCCTCCCATTTCCCACTGCCGAGGATCATCAGGAGCGGCGCCATATTCAGCAGCGTTCTGTGCCTCCGCCCCAGCCGCATGCGGGTCCGACGGGGCGGAAACATGGAGCAGCCACGGGGCACAGACGACCGACGTAAACAAGGTGAGCACGCATGCTTCGGGTCGGGATTAAACCAGAAATGAGATCTGTCAGCAGAACGCAAACAATCGCCAGAGGCAGTACGTGAAAAGATTGCGAAACAGCCGATAGCACGCAAACCAACGATGCCAGTTAACAATGACCCACCGCAATGTAAACAAACAAGGCACCACAATGGTTCAAAGATGTAGAGCACAACATTTCCGTTGTAAATTGAAGCAAAGGAAATTCAAATAACTCCGGTCAGAGGAAACGAAAGGGCACCCACACACTAATACAAAGGCCAAACATTCGCAGCACTACAGCGCCAGGAGCGAGAAGGGAGCAGAAGTGGCGGAAGACCGTGGCTGCCACTGACGGCGGGGAAGGCTGTGGCTGCCACTGACGGCGGGGAAGGCTGTGGCTGCCACTGGCGGCGGGGAAGGCTGTGGCTGCCACTGGCCACACCCGGCTGACAACCACAGAGCGAGCGTCACAATGGCGCGCGACACGGGCGCTTCGCCAGCGATAACCCGCAAGCCCCCGAGCCAGCGGCGCGGCGTGACGGTCACGGCTGTGACGGACCGTGACGCTGGTAACGAAGCGCCGCCTGCCACGGCGGTTAACTTAGGGAGACGTATGGCCGTCCAAGAGCGCATCTGCCCGGCTGGGGACTGCGGCAAGATATCACGGCGACGAGGCTGGGCGCGCCCAGCACGGACCATGAGACGGGAACGGTCATAATGACGACGCGGGTAGTTCACCCGCCATTGTGAGAAAGGCTTTGCAGAGGATTAGTATCCAGCGGGACATCAGTGCAGTTTAGACGACGGTGGAAATGTTTTGTTCAGGATCTTGCGGCTCTTTTCTCCACAGAGGGAATCGACTGCCGAATTTCCTAGACTTTGCGGTGCTCCGATAGCACGCCATGCCTGATTCTGCTACAGCCGCCCGCATTCAGAAGAGCTGACTCATGCGATGAAGATCGTTGATGGAGTTGATACTCCCTTCTCGAGTGCTGGGAACAGCTTGTACCGGCTTTCCGGGTGATGCAGAACTCACAAAACCGTCTAGCCATGTGTTTCACCGCTGGCTCGTGTTCGACGTGCGGATTTGTGGAATTCTGCTTGCTTTGTTTGAGTTTCAGGTCTGTGGTCCGACCCGCGCGCGGGACAGTATCGGTCCACACAGACTCGGCCCGATCTCCCGCGAAGAGGATCGCCGTGGCGGGCCGTGAAATATTTCCAGATTTCGGGCTATCGGGCGGCGCAAGCGGGCCCGCCCGTCCCACCGTCACGGAAGCCTCCGCGCGAAGACCTCCTCCATTTTGATCACGGCAACAGTAATGCGCTTATGAATCCCAGCTTCCGAGAAAGTGCCGGCACATCTCCATTGTTCCGTAAAACAGAGCGATGTGGTATTGGGCCCTCTCACCCGGCCAGCGATATGCCTGCTACTGCAGTGCAACTACAACCTGGTCTTCCGCACCTTCAGCCAACGAGCTATTCTGGCTTGGGTGTCATGTACGCCATGTTCTGATTACTCAATCAGCATGCCTTCAAATTCAGTAAAGACTACATATAAATACACATACCCACGCACACACACACACACACACACACACACGCACACGCACACGCACACGCACACGCACACGCACACGCACACACACATATATATATATATATATATATATATATATATATATATATATATATAATTCGCACGTTTTAAATGTCCACAAGTTGCGGTTCCACCGTCATATTGATGGCCATGAGGCTGCACCGCTCGTACTCACACCAAGTTGGTGATGACCTTCAGACCACGTCGGCCGGCGGTGGGGAACTCGCGGGTGTTGACGTACGCGATCTTCCTGAACAGGCTCTCAATGTGGGTCCGGTTGCTTCCCTCCACGGTCACCTCCGTCATGTCTGCAAGCATAGCAAGGTCAGCAAATACCCCGTTCACAAGCAATGGATTCCCTAACAGCATACAGCCCAACCAGGTGGGGCTGTTGGCTTTTGGCATGCCGATAATCTACTAGAGAAATGTAATTTTGTGCACAGCATCAACCAAAAAATTACAAACTTCCATGCTATCGCTCGGTCGCACAAAATAAAAATAAGGCATCTTTCCTCGACCATGTTCTCGACCGGTAAACACGCACACGAACAATCTGCAAGCAAAACACGACTTTTATTTGTCGTATCATGGTAATGTTAACAAGCGCGGTAGGTATCGATAATATTATGCGACAGCTTGACATGCGTTGTTGTGTTGTCACCACACACACCTCTGGGTGGTTCTGGGCGTCAGATTCATAAATGTCAACGGCCAATTTATCTCCGAACACGTACGCCCGGGGGCCGCCGAGGTATTCGGTTTACGCTTTAGCCGGGATGATGGCGGCGGAGGCGAACTGATTGAATTTTGCAGCAGAATCGATAAGCGGCAAACTATCTTTCACATTTCTGGAAAAGAATGAGAAAACTGGCGGCTGGGCTTCCGACATCTTGGTGGAAACGACATGCGGCGCGCGAAATATTTCCGTTCTTTTCGGGTGTGCATCGAGGCGCCGGTAAATTGAAAAGTTAGAGGTTCAAAGCATCCTGGTGACACAAATCGGGAACATCCACAAAGCTCTCCGCGGCTCTCACCACTGGCTCGATGCAAACTATAGAAGCAGCTCTACCTCAAAGAAGCGGAAGTAAGAGGTTGTGGGTAGGGCGGCACTTCAACGGCAAAGTTGGTTAGATACATATGTCAGCACCACAGCCTGCGCCACATCAAGGAGTTGTCGCCAGGGTAGTGTCGCTGTAATGTGTAAAAATCATATTGGACTCGATGGCCGCGCCCGATGTCGTGATTCGTGCCAACCCCGAGCACAGCGGCGATGGGCGTCACGCTCCGAGCGCATGACTGCCGCCGGCGTCTGCTCATCTTGATGAATGAACCATCACGTAAAAATTTGTTGTCACAGACAAAGGTCACCGCTGATTTATTGGAGTCGATATCAAATTTTCAGCGAAACAGCGAACCGATCCTAAATACATAGCACGCAAGGCGCAAAAACCTGGCGTCGAAATGTAGCATCTGTTCTACCTCAGAGGTCAGTAGTGCTACATCTATCCGCTGTATCTACATAGGCCAGTCGAAAGCTGGCCTACCTACGGAACCTCGCTCAGACCAAGTCCAGTGGCCCGCTGCTCCGCAGGACAGAACCGGACAGAACCGGTATAAAGTGCACTTTATGCCCTGCTCACACCGCAGCGATACAGCGACGCGGCAGAACCAATCTACTGCTATTGGGGAGTGATACAAGCGCACGGCAGCGCAGCCGTCCCGTGTTGGCGAGTAATGCAGCGACACGACAGCACCAACTTACCGTTATTGGCGAGTGATACAGGGGCACGGCAGCACAGCCGCACCGCTATTGGGGAGTGATACAGGGGTACACCAGAGCCAGATGCAACGCTGTTGGGAAGTGATACAGGGGCACAGCGGCGCCAGACGTACCACTGTTGGGGAGTAATACAGGGGCACACCAGCGCCAGACGTGCAGCTGTTGGGGAGTGATACAGTGGCACGCCAGTGCCAGACGTACCGTTATTGGCAAGCAGCTCCATTCCAGGCAGCAGGAGTTCGACGGAGGGCGCCTGCAGCGACTCGCTGCAGCTGTACAGGCAGCTCAACACCTTCGGTTTCTCAGCGGCGCCGCGCAGCACCGACAGGCCAGCCATGTAGCCGTTGAAGATGTGCTTCATCCGAGACTCAGAGCCTGCAGGAACACAGATTACCGTTAGGTCGGCGGCGGAAAGGTCAGGTCGGCGGCGAGGGATGTCAGATCGGGTTGTTAGGAATGTTGCCTTGTGGTGGTGGCGCCAGGTGAGATGTGGGTGGTCCAGGGATGAAGGTGGCGCGGCCCTGGGCACCTTGGTTTGCCCGCCGATACAAAGCAAAGGTACCTTAGTTATCGCCTCAAAAAACCTCGCAAACACAGCAATCCTAATTCATGTTCAACCAGATAACGATTAACTTCGCATTTCATCAGTGGTGATGAATCGTACAACAAAAACGAAAACCCGCAACACCCTCGAAGCAAAAACAAACGAAAAGCGACAAGAGTCCGACACTCTAAACGACCATTTTGGCCGATACCACCGGGTGCAACCCAACCCACGCCCCCAAACCGCAGCACTGCATGGACGCCGACGCCAGCGGTGCTTGACGGCGACGACCTCTGTCAGCAGGCCGGCTGGTGTTAGGACCGAGCCCGCCCGCGGTCCTGGGGCCGTGGCCGCGGTGGAAGCGGGGGCGGCTCGACCGAGCCCGCCCGCGGCCCTCGGGTCATGCCGGCGGGGCTCGACCGAGCCCACCCGCGCTCCTCGGGCTAGGCCGGCGGTGGAAGCGGCGGCGGCTCGACCGAGCCCGCCAGCGGCCCTTGGGCTAGGCCGGCGGTTGAAGCGACGGCGACTCAACCGAGCCCGCCCGCGGCCCTCGGGCCATGCCAGCGGTGGAAGCGGGACGGCGACGGGCAAGATGGATTGCTCCACCGTCGGTGGCGTGGGCGGCTCGTCCCAGGGCCGCCTGAGTGGCAGGTGCCGCGATGCAGAGACGCTCAATCATTCAGGCGCGACCGTTTGGGCGGGGCCACGCTCGCTCTGGGCAGCCCGCTACCGTCGGGGGCGCCGTATGTGCCTCAGGCGCCGGCCAGGTCGGGCCGCCGGGCCGGCGGACTGGCACGGAGCGGCGGGGGCGGGGGCACCGCGGCCCACCGCGGCACCAGGAGACGACTGGCGGAACCACGGACGAGAGATCAGGAGCTAGATGCTGGGTGGTAGGCATAAGGCATGCAGGTGGTGGGCATACGGATTCTCACGGGCATGGAAACAGCAGGGGCAGTGCCGGCCACCGATCTATACACCGCAGCGACGAGGGCTGTGAGAACCAGGGGGAGCCTAGGTGCACTCAACGGAAATCTTGCAGAATCCGGGAAGGACACAGGCTAGCGTTCCAAGAATGCTACTGAATAGCAGCTATAGACCAGGCTTTAGAGACCCATGGGAGAAGAATTCCATGAAAGCAATATGCTCTCGGGAAGCCTTGAGTACAAAAGACTACCTCGCGCTGCTAAGCGGATGTCATTAAAGAGATACTAGTGACTCCTGGATCGTTTAAAGACAGTGCTTTTAACGCTCCAATGACAGCGCTTTAAGACTCCGACGCAACGCAGGGAATCTCAACACCGCTCCAGTCCGCAGTGATCCACAGCTTAAGCCGTGCTTGCGGCTGCGGGCTCTAGCCGGAATTACTGCCAGAGCCGACCGAGGCTGGCCTGCCCAGCACGGCTGCCGCAAAAACAACCAGCGCCGGCCGCGAAGCCTCGCGGCGAGCGTCAGAGGCGGCGGCGTCTGGTAACGACGGCAGAGCGAGTGCCGCGAGTCGGACGCGTCAGACGCGCGGCCGGGATCCGAGAGATGAGACGTGCGGCCGGGGATCCGAGAGATCATACGTGTGAGCGGGGAATCAGAGAGATCAGACGTGAGGGTGGGAATCAGAGATCAGATGCGCGGCCGGGGATCAGAGAGATCAAATAGGCGGTCGACGGACTGGACTGATCAGACGTGCAGGCGGGGAATCAGAGATCAGATGGACGGCTGGGGATCAGCGATCATACGGGCGTACGGGGCATTGGGATCGGACGGGCGGCCCGGGGAGAGAGTGAGAGGTGAGGTGAGATCGGAGAGGTGATTCGCCGCCGCCCGTCCGGCCCGAACCGCTTTCCTTCCCGAGAGAACCATGGCCGAAGCTCGAACGGGCGGGCCAAGCTACAACTCACAGGCAGACCCGTATTGTCGAGACTCCCATTGAGCTGAGAACATTGCCGAGCGACGGGGCGACGGGCCTGCCGCCCGAGCGTTTAGCCACCATGATGGACGACGCATGCAAGCTGAAAGTACGACGCCAACCCTGTAATATGTGCGAGTGTACGATGTCGTTCCTCCCCAGCCGACACATAGCTCCCCATCAGACGTCGGAGCCTCACTGAAATAACGAGCGGTGGAAAAGGCAACGAAAGAATATCCGCCATTCCCGCTAATGTGCAGCATCGCTTAGGCGGAGAGGGCAATGGCTGTAGCCAGCCAAATAGCCGTGGAGTGACGCTCCTGACCGGACAGTGTGGCCTGCGGGGAGAACGTGGAACGCGCTGATGTAGTTTTAGGCGACGCTCTTAGTCGGACGATGCGGGCTGTGCGTTGATGCGGGACGCGTTGATGCGGTGTTTTGTAAACTGAAGTGACTGTCCTGATCGGACAGCGTAGACTGTGCTGTGAAACGGGACATGTTGATGTGGCGTTAGGTGACTGTCCTGATCGGACAGCGTGGACTGTGCTGTGAAACGGGACATGTTGATGCAACGTTAGGTGACTGTCCTAATCGGACAGCGTGGACAGTGTTGTGACGCGAGACGTGTTGATGTGGTGTTAGGTGACTGTCCTGATTGGACAGCGTGGACTGTGCGGTGAAGCGCGACGTGTCGACGTCAGCGCCAGGTGAAGCCTCTGTCCAGGAAGCGTGGGCTCCACAACAGCTGCAGACCGGCGCCGCTATCACACCCTGCCCGGCACGGCAGCCTCTAATGAGATTCTGCCGCGCCTGAAGGCGCGGTTCCTTATCAGCGAGAGCTGCGAACAAAACGCGCCCAGGCGCCGAGGCTAATCCGGATGGTGGACGGCGATAGCTCCTGAACTGGCGGCGCGGGAGACGGCTCACGGAAGCGGGCCGGACGGACGGCTGGTGGTCGGGAAGGAGCGGCTGCCCTTCCTTCGCCCCCCCCCCCCCCGAAAAATTCGGCCAACGTTTAGCGTTAGCTATGTGGATGGAAAGAAACCGAGTTAAAACGTGACCCCCATGAGGCAGCCACCACCACTGAAAGATCTGCGGAGATCGGAGTCGCTTTAGTCCGCGTTCAGTCATTGGTGGTGTGAACTGAGGAAGCGTCCTGCCTGTTTCGTCAGCAGACGCGTTGCTGTAGACAACCAGCTAGCCAGGAAAGTGGAGTTCGAGCGTGGTTTTTTCGCCGATACCTTCTGCGACGGGCCATCAGCACCTGAAGACTCCCCTCGTACCAGCAGTGGACTCCCTGGAGTGGACTCACCCTGCTACCAGCAGCAGTGGGCTCATCCTGCCCGCAGCAGCACGCACCCCAGCCGCTACTGTGAACTCCCCCTGCCCGCAGCCGCACGTACCCCCGCAGGCAGCAGTGGACTCACCCTGCCCGCAGCAGCGCGCGCCTCAGCCGGCAGTCGTGGATTTGCAGTGGACTTACCCTACCCGCAGCAGCGCTGCGGATAGGGCGAGTCCTGTCCTGCCCGCGGCAGCGGACTCAGCCTACTCGCAACAGCTCGCGCCTCCGTCGGCAGCAGTGGACTCACCCTGCCAGCAGCAGCGCGCGCCCCCGCCGAGAGCAGTGGATTCACCCTGCCCGCGGCAGCGCGCGCCCCCGCCGGCAGCAGTGGACTCACCCTGCCCGCGGCAGCGCGCGCCCCCGCCGGCAGCAGTGGACTCACCCTGCCAGCAGCCGCCAACGCTGAGGCGCGTGGCAAGGTCGGGCGCCGAGTGCAGCGGCCAGTCGTCGATGACCTCGTGCATCTGGGGTTCGACATTCAGCAGCCGGCCGTCCACGACCAGCGACAGCTCCGGGTACTTCATGCTCAGCGCGTAGTGATGCCACTCGTCGTCGCACACCTGTCGACGAAGCGTGGGGTCAGTCAAGGGGCAGAGAAGGAGCCGGGCGGGGTGGGTCGGGCGGACTGTGCCTCAGGCTGGCCCCTGAGGCACGCATGCGATTGGAATGAGGTCGCGCGTTGACATTGGCTGCATCCAGGCCGTTACATCCAATTGGAATGAGAATGTGAGACAGAATTTCGGTGTTCGAAAAGATGCGTGGAAAATGCGCTCGACTAAGGCGGGGCAAGCCAGGACTCTTTCGATGCTAGATAGTAGCACGGCCACCGGCATTGTACAACATCAGTGACATTCCAAGTATAAACCGCATAGCAAGTTGTAATGTCAATCTTGAGTCAGTAATCATCATCGGTGTGGCCGGGGTCCGTGCGTATCTATATGCTGTTCGCTGTGGATTGACGCCCCACAAAATCGGTTGTCATCCACAAGTCGGACATTGCTTTGCGATGGCATAAAACGGTTAGGTCACATACAGAAACACTTTTATCATACTGCAGCTACTTAACCAAGCCAATTATTTTGTCAGCCAACTCGCATGTTTAATAGGTAATCAGGACAATAGGATTCCATGAGTGATAGTAGCGACGATCAATGCAAAACAAGCAATACCAGAGACATCGCCCTGTTAGAAATACCTCCTACACCGTACACCATGCCCAGGACATACCAGCCTAACCCCGGTCACCTCGAGCTGTGACGTCAGGCGGTTCACTCCCTCTGCCAGCCCATGGACATGTAGGACACGTCATCAGGCGAAAAAGGAAATGTGACATAGACTGAGTTCAGCGATTTCGTCGCACGAGAGCTGCCCGATTACAATCGAGGCCAATGTCTTGCAGCGGTGACGAATGACAAGGCGCTCCTTTCTCTGGGCTTTGGTTACCAATTCTGTGTAGGATACCCGGTATACTGTTTCATGACAAGCACAAGCTCTGATAAATACATGCTCGCATTGAAGGTAGAGACCGGAGAGCAGCTCAACATCGACTCACTGATGATGATGATCACTGAATGCTCTATGAGCATCTCAAGAAGCCCCAAAGCACCAGTGCTTTGGGGACGTGGCCAGTTAAGGAGAAATAAACTGTAGCAGTACTTTAGTCGTGATCCGGCGCCGACACCGTTATTCCTACCGCTATTGGACCGTAATCTGTGTGTTTAGCAGTGCGTGCCGTCAGGATCAGCTGGATATCAAGGGGAGCTCAATCTCTTGCTAGTTTGAAGAGTGGGTGCTGACAATATCTGCATAGGACGGGTGAAGTTGGGGTGCCGTGCTCGCAGGGCTATAATTTGCTTTTCGGTTAGGGGAGGGCTTCAGCCCCTAACCGGGACTGAGTCTCCCTCCCCCAACTTTGACGTAAAAAGGTTGAGTTATTTCACTGCTCAGCCCCCAAACTCATTTTGTGAAGCTACACCCCTGCTAGTTGGCGGCCAGAAAGCCCCACATAATGTAGCATTCTATACCCTGGCTAACACGCAAGAGCGCACTTTCCCAAAACGAGTCGTGGGGGGGGGGGCTTGAATGGTGAAAAATGACACAGCCCATCCCGAAATATACCAACAAACGGGTTTTCTCCGAGTTTGGCCCACTTCCTTCTCACAGCTGGGGGTAGGGGTGGAGCTCAAGTTGGGGGACGGCTGAGTCCCCCCCCCCCGCCCAAATAAAAAGGAATATACGCCCCTGCTACCACGGCACGGTGTCATAGCGGCCCAGTGTCATTTCCACTGCCTTCAGCCCCGCACCTTTGCTTGCGGTTCGCATTCAGCTCCACCTGTGGCACCAATGCCGACGCTGGCAAACAAAGCAGCAGCACGCAACGGCCACTGTTCCAATAACGAACCACTGTTTTCCCATCACCTGTGCGCCTTGCCACAAAAACACTATGCCGAGCACATCCAGTGCCGTAGAAGGCTCATAAATGCGTTATCGGGTACCGCTGCGACGGCACGCCTGGAGACACGGAAACGGAAGACGCATCAGCGTGGGGAGTGCCGCCTCTAAGAAACGTATTGAAGAAGCGCGGCGCGGCAGCACCGAGCGTCGCTGTTGCTTTTCCATTGCAAGCGTCGCTGGTCGTTTGTCGGCCCAGTTTGTTCTGTTGTGCCTCAGTGTGTAGGAATCGTCGCAACAGTGGAACAGTCATGCATGATGATTGTGCGGAAGACTAAACGGTGGTAGGGTCTTTTACGCCGAAGTTCGCACGAATTCTCAAGTACTTTGATTACGAAAATACGCGTCACACTCAAAACCAGTTGTCTTGGCTTCGTTCTCGACCGCTTACACTGTATATCCGAAATACAGAATTCCTCTCCATTCGTCCAGTGCAACATGTGGCCCTTTTTTTGCTACTCAGGCTTTAATTTATGATGGTGGTCGCACAGATATGTGACCACCATCAGAATAAAACGCGTAAAGAAGACCAAAAAGAAAAAAAAATTGTTCGCAGGCTTCATTCCAACGTAATTTGCTTACTATGTGTCTTTTGATGGAGGGATATCATATATTGTCAGCTGTTCATCATGCTGCAAAGTGAAGATGTGAAGGGTGACCATAGACATGTCAGTAGTCAAATGTACCTGATGAATCTAAGGAAGCTGGTTGGTGCTGCATGTGCTCCAACAAGAGGATTCTTACACCGATGATCCACTCCCAGATGTACAGCATCTGCCAGCATCGGGCACCTGCTAGTCGGAGCAGTCACATCCCCCACCTGAGACACCTCCCAGTCGGAGAAGTCGCGACCACTCACCTGCGGCACCTGCCAGTCGGAGCAGTCACGACCACCCACCTGCGGTATCTGCCAGCGCCACTCGGCCGGGGAGAACGTGTTGAGGTTGGCCTCGTCGTACTCGCGACGCAGCAACAGGATCAAATGACAGTTGCGAATGAACAGCGCGTAGTGGTGACGGTTCATCCCTGGAATCGGTCACACGGCGTCAGGCGGAACACGAACACATAGTGGTGATGGTTCGTTCCTGGAATTGGTCACACAGCGTCACGCGAAACACGAACACATGGTGGTGACAGTTCATCCCCGGCATTGGTCACACAACACCCAGCGGAACACGCATACGCGTTCGACACAGAAGGTCATCGTAACATGCCCATGCGTTCGACAGCGGAGGTCGACCGACAGGAAGTCGCTGGCCCAGCTGTGTTTGGATGGGTCTCGAACGCTGCCTCATCCCACAACTGGGCACGATAGGCATTTGATAGACGCTGTACACAGCGGACTGCCGTACGTGCACGAGGCGAGGCAATTCATCCAGCCACATATGTGTGCGTCGCTGGTAACCAGCTGACCAGCCATGCGTTCCGGGACAGGTTCCAGTGTTCGCCATCCGCTGGTCCCGACCCCCGGGAGCAACAGGTCAATCTGTTCCGTCTCGACGCCCGGGTCTCACGGGAACACACTGAATACCGACGACCGATCAACGACAGCAGCTTCAAAACTTCTCAAAAAGAAGTTAGCCGCTGGAATTGCCTGCCCGAGCGGCGCTGAGCTGACAGCGCTGGCTGGGCATAGCTCGTTTGGCGAACGCTGGTCCTACCACGCGAGAGCTCGGAGCTGCCGGATCATTTTCCCGACCTTAGCGTCAATATAAGTCATGAATGTCTGCGTTAATACACACACATAAACATATATATATATATATATATATATATATATATATATATATATATATATGTATGTAGTGAGCATACAGTAACAGGTATTTGTAACGTGGCACGGAGACCACGCATGACCGATCGTGCTAAAGATTTCCACACCTTGCCGGAAAACACGACGCCGCAGGTAGGAATCGAGCCCATCTGAGGCCTTCCTGAACCAGTTCACTGAGTCCTTTGCTGGCTGCAAAACCAGTCCAGCGAGCGGGCCGCAACACCAACGACACGGCAAAAAGGAAAACAAGCTCCGTGAAGCATGCCGAGTTCTGCCAATATCAATACAGCCGGCAGGCATTTAGCCCGAGTTCCGTGCGTAGATTTTCTCGTTTCGTTCAGTCAATACCGAAACTGCACGCAAACATACCGATACCCTGTTTTGAAACCAGCCAAACTTTGACGCTTGCCGAGCAAGGCTTCCAGTTCACTTTGCCTTTAACTGGGTCGGGGGCATACAAAGCGCTACAATGCGGGCCAAATGCCCCCGGGAGTCGCAGCGCTACGGGGGCCGCTCCCCGAGCAAAGTTACGGTTTTTGTGCGTGTTTTCCAGGGTGGGAGGGCTCGCGTGCGCCTAACCCAGGCTGTTGCTGCCGCCGGCGGTCCGGAGATTGAAGCTCAAAATCGACGGCTCTCCAGGGCTTCCGCACGCCGATGCTGAGTCGCCTGAGGGTAGCTGCAGCCCGATTAGAAGCTCGGAACGCGCACAGGCGAAGGCGCGCATCACTTCCACCCATGCTCTTAATAGCCGCTGTTTGACCATGTTTCCGTTGGTATGCTTCTGCAGGTGCTGTCTTGTTGCCCGCAGGATGGGACACAACATCCGACGTTTCACACAAGCAATGAACGGGGAAAATAAATTCGTGTCACGCTATCCAAACCGCAAAGTTAGCGTGTAATCTGCTTCGTGGGAAACCAAGCAAACTTCTAGCAGCCACCTCTCTTCATCCAAGAGTACGCACGAAGGTCCACATGGCTCGGTAGACCACTGAGCCCAATAAACAGGAGCTTCACCCAGGCGGCGGCTTCGCCCTGCCACTGACGTACCGCTTCAACAGCAGGTCGCGCCGCCGTGCGTACCTACTTCCCATCAGCAGCTACATTGGCGAACGGACCGGAAACAGTCCGGAGGGGAGGGGGAGGACCGAGCCTGCCAGCGGGTCGACACCGCCGCCAGCGTTTGACGCAACCTATGCCGCGGCCCCGCGCTGCCTGCGCTGATTAACGGCGGTATTGACCAAGCGACCCGCGACCTTTCCGGCCGCATTGTGAGCCGCTAATGCACGGCAGAAAGGCGGTCGACGAGGCGGGCCGGCCCCTTCCCGCCTGATCTGCCCGCTTCGCACGCCCCGCTGACGCTGCGCAGACTCGCTGACGCTGCCCGAGTCAATGATGCAACACGACTCCCTGGTGTAACATCCCCCGCCAACGCAACGGCTCACTGACGCTGCGCGGACTCGCTGACGCCGCCCGAGTCAGTGATGCAACACAAACCCCCGGTGTAACATCCCCCGCCAACGCAACGGCTCACTGACGCCGCACGACTCATTGATGTCATGACTCACTGACGCCACTCGGCTTTCTCACATCTAACTATTCGCTGAGGCCGCATGGCTCGCCGGCATCATCCAACTCCCTGCCAAAACGAGCCGCGTTTACGTGACACCGACACGCCGACATGGCATCTCACAGCGTATTAGTGAGATGTGATCCGCTGGCACTCCCACTAACTAAAAGCGAAGTCTTTTATTACTGTTTATCTGCCACATCAAGGAAACCAACCACGCACGTTTAAAAACCGCTGCATCCATTCTCTGACGCCCTAAACTAACATTTGCAAACAAACGGGAAGTCTATGAATCACTTCGACGTCTTCCGTGGGCCCACAGCTTAAATCAGAGCTTGAGTCTGAGTAGTTGAGTAGTTGAGCAGTTAAGTAGTTGAGATCGAATCGTATTTTTATCAAATTGAACGTTGTTCGAAGCTATTCAAACACAAGCCACGCCCGATCATCGGTCCCCTTAGTGACCGTAACGACCTCCGACTCACTCCAGACTGAGGCGGCCTGCCAGAAAGAGACCGAAATCCAACCATTGACCCAATGATATCACAAAAGCGCAGCGGGCCGTCATTTCCAGCCGCCCCGGCCCGGCCCATCCTTGCCTGGCCTGTCTCCAGCTGCAAAGCCTGGTCCGTCCCCAAACCAGCCCGTCACAGCTCGTTGCAGCTCATCGCAGCCCGTCGCAGCCCGTCGCAGCCCGTCGCAGCCCGTCCCCAGCCCGTCCCCTGCCCGGCCTGTCTCCAGCTGCCAAGCCTGGTCCGTCCCCAAACCAGTCCATCGCAGCCCATCGCAACCTATCGCAGCTCGTCGCAGCCGTCGCAGCCCGTCCCCAGCACGTCCCCTGTCCGTTCTGTCTCCAGCTGCCATGCCTGGTCCGTCCCCAGCCCAACCCGTCACTGCCCGTCGCAGCCTGTTCTAGCCCGTCCCCAGCCCGGTCTGTCCCCAGCTGCCAAGCCTGGTCCGTCCCCAAACCAGCCCGTCGCAGCCCGTTGCAGCTCATCGCAGCCCGTCGCAGCCCGTCGCAGCCCGTCCCCAGCCCGTCCCCTGCCCGGCCTGTCTCCAGGTGCCAAGCCTGGCCCGTCCCCACACCCAGCCCGTCACTGCCCGTCGCAGCCCGCTCTAGCCCGTCCCCAGCCCGGTCTGTCCCCAGCCGCCCGCTCCACTTACTGTGGTCGTCGGCGTTGCAGAGGATGTGCTCCTTGACGTGTTTGTCCTGGCCAGGGTGGTCGGCATGCCGAAGCCACATGGACACGGTGAAGGTGGTGCCCAGCTGGGGCTTCATCACCGACGGCGGCACCACCACCGCCGTGCTGACGCCGTCAAACTGCCGGCACGGACGAGAGGATGTCGCTCCCCCTCAGCAACAGAAGCCCAAAGAGAAAGGCACAGTTAACAGCAGGTGCCCTCAGGGTATGTGTTCTCTGGGAATGTCCCTCTAGCATGGTTACGGTTGGACAGAGATGTTCTCAGAAAAAGAGGTAGCCGGTTCGTGGTAAAGTCGCTCGAAGAACATTGGTTCTGTGGAATGATCGCTTTACATAACAGCGCTCCTCCAGATGGCTTACGTCAGACACTTTTTGAATTAATTCAAGGGGATTCGGTTCTACGGACGGTCCTTGGCTCGAGGGCAAGTAGAGAGAGGGACGCGGAGAGAGCGAAGGGGAGCGATGGGCGGAAAGTTGTGTACAGAACAAATGAGCCCGCCTGGATCTATACTAATCAACAGCAATCAGCGTATTCTGAGCTACGAAAACAGCCGCAGGGCATATGAATGTGGAATATTCAGCACAACAGCCGGCTTTAATAAGGCTGCATAACGTAACGCAAACATCGGGGAACGGAATTGGCCATGGCAGGAGCTGGCGTAAAAACATACAGCTGATTTAACAACCCGGTCGATGTGGGCGGAAACGCAGGCTGGTCAGTTGACCTGCGTCGATGTCATATTCTACTTTGGAAGAGCGAGGCGTGCTTCTGAACTATCCATTCGAGCTTGACAATAACAGGCTCACTCGTTTCCTCAGTTCGACAACCCAAAAATACTGAGGACAAGACCATACGGGCATGAACACACAAACACACTACGTGTCGCGTCATATAATGAACCGACTATTTTTCCTGATTTTTGAAGAGCTTAGTGTCCCAAGAGCATGGCAAAGCTTGATGGTTTGACACTTTCAACAACGTTCTAGGCTCAAAATATTTAACTACTTGAGGCCAGCGTGTTGCCGAAATTATCCCAACGCACCGCACCACTGCCTTCCCTCCGCCTGCCTCCTCCGTGAAGAGTCCGCCCGGCCCGGACCCTGACCCGAACCCCCGTGTCCGCCCCACCCACCTGGAACACCTCGTCCGACTCGTGGCCGTGGTCGCGCGGCAGCGGGCGGGTCCACTCGGCGCCGGCGGACGGCGACGGCAGCAGGTCGACCGCCCGCCGGTCGGCGCCGCACAGCTTGCGCTGGCTCTCCACCGAGTACGTGTCGCGGTCGCAGCCCTTGCCGATGTGCGACGTCTGCAGCGAGATCTTGCTCTGCACGCGGTCCACGGCGCACGGCACCTCGCACATGTCCAGCGTGGCGTCCGGGAACAGCTGGACGGCGCCCGAGGCCGGCGCGTACTCCACGTGCTCGGGCAGATCTGGTGGACACGCGGCGCCGGCACGTCAGTGGCGGAGCGCTAGTCGACGGAGCATCGGAGGAGAATCAGCAGTAAGTCGGTAAAGTCAGCACGTCAGTACCAATGGCCGCGTGGCGGACATTGTGCGCCATGTTGGGACGCCGTAATTCACACGTTGTAGGACTGCACCGCAACACATGGATGTATGGCGGCACAGCATAGCACGCATCCGCCGTTACTACTGACATCTGACGGCCAGATCTGAAGATGTTCTGGTCGGCGTTTTAAATACTTGCTGCCATTCGCAATGTAGCAAGCTGTTATATCTCGTTAGAAGCTGTTGAAATTCACATATTCTATCTATTCTATGGTTGCACGTGGAAGAAACAAAGCTGCTGCTCTCTGTAGATTGTTGTACAGTCACGTAACATAGCCACGCAAGCCACAGTCAATATAACTCATGAGATGACCAGGTTTTGCTATTGCGGGGGCAGTGGCCCCACCCCATACCGGGTCTTTAGTGACGACACATTCCACTGAACACATGCTGCACACAAATCGTCCTAATGTGTCAGGGGTCATGAGGCGATGGGTCCGCGTGTGCATTTGATGAGAGTGACAGCACATTTTGAGAGCTGTTTCTCTAGCACAGTTGCTCGTTTAAGAAAGCGTGCAAGTAATGCATGAGCGCCCGCTGATCGCACATTACGTGAACATCGTAGATAAAATCGTGGGATGGTTTTGCACTATCGTCACCCACCCTTGTCCGTGGATTAAACGAAGTGAATCCTCAACTTATCTTACACTTAGACACCCGACGGAACAGCAAAAGCTGACGTTGTTTTACAAATGCATCTGGTTAACCGATTTCGAACATAACCTGCCAAGATCACCAACTTCGCACAGTTGCGCGAGATAGCTTAAACGTTCTATTTACTGGATCGCGAGGCAAACATACCGGATTGGTCGACGGATCCAAGCGGATCCCACCAGATCCAATCAGATCCCACTGGATCCGAGCAGATCCCACTGGTTCCGAGCGGACCCCACTGGATCCGAGCGGACTACACTCGGTCCGGGTGGATCCCACTGGATCCGAGCGGATCCAGCCGCAGGTGCCAACGCTGCCTACAATGGATACACCGGTGGTGTCTCAACCAGCGTGTCTGGCGCACTGACGCGGTAGTAGTATGCTTGAAGTGGAATCGCATGGGGGACACGACCAAAGCCCAACACGTGAAGAAATTTCAAAGGTCGACAAAGTTGAAACCCATTTAAGGAGTGAAACCACCCACACAAGCCCCAGGCTTCATCTTGTCATGCCTCTAAAGGTCACGCCTTCCCGAGCGCCAGGCGGCGGAAGGGAAACTTTATACCTTGGCGAGTTGCTTCTCTGTAACCAACTGACAAATCTCTATTCGAAGACTGTTTTGTACTACCCAACGAATGTCATTGCAATGAATGTCTAAAGCACGGACTGCAATTGTAAAATAAAGAGTAATCCTTAACGTTCTAATTATTTCATTTTTCGTTCACGATCAAATGAAATGCGCCAAACAACGAACAAGATTCGGCCTCAGGCTGGCATTGAGTCGGAAAACAATGTCCAGTTAAACATACAACCAGGATCACACTCAACATCACTAAACATTTTACAACGCCTCCGGCATTCAAAACAGAAGCAATAATTTCCAATGCACCCAATTTCTAAAAAGATATATAACTGCTCACAGAGAGTGCAGCGCACGTCGTCACGCATCCTTCTATGGATCTATAACATTCTATCGCCATACATCCTCATATTGGGCTATGTTCGCAGCACGTTAATCTCACTACACACAAATGCGATCTTGACCCGTTTTTTTTTTACATTTACATTTATCTTTTATTACATTTATTTTTATCATTTATTTATCATTAGTTACATTTAGCGGAAGTATATTCGAAACCATTTTCTGCCTAGCCAGAAGCCGGATGCCATGTGTTCGGCTGTGAGAAGCCCTGCTCATGGAGTCCGTCCCGCTCCTAGAGAACGCAGACAGATGTGTGATGCGAGACGCCTCCAGACAGAATGCCTAAGCGGGTCACACAGCCTGCCACGTGCGGCAGTTACATGTGCTGACAGCACTCACCGAGCGGCTGGCACATGCAGGACAGATCTGCGTCCTGCATGCCACACGACGGCCGGACACGGCGGCGGAAGGCCGGTCACGTGCGCTGCAACACGTGTCGCACGTGCGACACAGCTCGGCACGGGACCCTGACTCAGCGGCGGCGGAGCCGAGACAGCGGCCGGACGACCATGGCCGTCAACACGCCGCGCCCGCGGGGCTAACCGGCACAAGACGACGCCTACCGCCGACCGAGGTAACATCGAAAGGTTTGTCGCGAGGGAACGACCGCTTGAAATGACTTGTGAAGTACTCGGTATCGATATCGCCTTCGCCCATCAACGATCGGTGATCAGTTGCGTTAAAAAGATCGAACCCTGAGGAAGCCGGTCGCCAGATGAGTATGACTGGTTACCTGCGAAAAAGATCCCGGTGCCTATAGCCCCGTTTGTTTGCAAGCGGCCCATCGATACCTCAACATAGTACAGACCCTCTGACGTAGGCTATACTAACCAACTTTCCTTGCTCACTCGTGTTTCGTTGCCGTTAGCCATATACAACATGCTTGGTGAAAAAGAAGGCACCATTACAGAAGGTGAAAAGCACCGAGAAGACCCCACTGCAGTTAGCAGACTCCAACCAGTGTCAATTGTTAACAGTTTTAGAATGACCAGAGTGTGCAACGCCGTGCTGTGGATCGGTTATGCGCAACAATATCGTCACCTTGAGATAGTCCGCACAATCAGACCTTTTGGGGGCGAGCTGACCACATTTAAACAACCTTGCATCCGTTGTAAATGCTGCCCGCATCCCCCTAAAACACTGCAATGTCTTGAGACGATAGTCAGCTGCTCCAGTGAGACGATGCGGGTTCGGTACATGGCGATCACTTAAAGGTCAGCTCGGAAGCCAGCTTCTGACACTACACCGCCTCTGCAGGCCTCGGGCGCAGGAAGCCGGAGCACAACTATTACAACTTAAACTTAAAGTTCAGCTCGGAAGCCAGCTTCTGACACTACACCGCCTCTACAGGCCTCGGGCGCAGGAAGCCGGAGCACAACTATTCCATTATTCACCGCACAGTGCCGCAGACCATCTCCAAGCACACCTGATACCCGATGGAATGTGCTCGCAATGAATAACAGATAGAACCTGATATGTTAGCCCACACATTTACTGTGACAAATTTGCCACATGAACTGGTTCGGTCGGGCCAAATAAAGAGCTCATGCTGTGTTAACTAGTTTTGCATAACAAGTGAGCGCACTTTCTCATTCCAGTTTAATGGTGAAAGCCGTTTTTATCTAACTTCCTGCGTTACATGCTTTACCATTTTCAGTTTGTTTTCAAAGTCATACAAGATTACATAAGATTTACGCATATTCCAGCTTGTTTCTAACGCAGACAGCTTCCTACATTTTAAATAGCGGTCTGAGCTCAGTAACTCCGAGATCTGAAACTGCTTAAAGGCAACACATCCCTGCTGTATTTGTCAAGGGATTTCGAAGTGTTTGGAATGCCGCGAATCTTAGGCCTTCGTGAGCAATGCCGTTCACTCATTGGACCAAACTGTTGGTAAATGAGCCAATGACGTGTTTTTTTTGTGTGCTGGTAGAGGAAGAGGACTCTGACTACTGGAACTCGTTCACTCCTTGTACATCAGCACGGTACAGTAGAGGGTAAGTGCCGACCTCTGATCCACAAATCCCATCGTCCGAGCTGCGCAGCTGAGGCTACCGAAGAAATGGCACCATTGCAAGAGACATGAGAAAGCTAGCCAGCGACGCGGAAATCAAGCCGAGTCTTAATGTCTCCAGACAAGACAAAGACCTCCTCAGCGGGTCAATTAACGAGGGATTGGGTTCAAAGCTCTCATCACGGTGCCCAGTCAGTCGGAGGAAAAGGTGGAGGACATTTCAAAAAGAGAGGCCCAAAATGCTTCTTCGCAGAGTGTTGCCCTCGATGGATTCAGTCGTCTGAAGGCATAATCTATGAGCGATGCTACACAGAGATTAGTGCCGATTAAGTTCGATTATGGTAGTCTTCACCTAAAAACGGAGAAAGAGAATACAAACAGAGAAGTAGAAAAACAGAGAAAGAGAGAAACAGCAACTGGGCTTCCGTAATGGCAACCTCACCCACGAGCACCGCGCCTATTATAAGCCAAAACACAATGTAACGTCTACATCAACAGACCTTTTACACAAATATTGCATAAGTCATCCCCGACCGTCGCTCCTGCCTCCATCGCCTCATCCGTCGTTGCTTGGCTTCGTTACTTTCCGCTTTCGCCGACACATGAAAGCAATACATAGCCAGTGCTCCATCACGGCGGGCGTTCATTTCGGCGATCGGCACTGGCCTCTCCGTCGTGAACGACCCCGGCCCTGGCAGCTACCGGCCGCCTCTCAGAGTCGCTCAGAACTGCCGTCACCAGGGAACCCCGCCCCGGCCGGTGGAGGACGACCCCGGCTCTAGCAGTTGCCGGCTGCCTTTCAGAGTCGCTAAGAGCTGCCGTCACCAGGGAGCCCCGCCCCGGCCGGTGGAGGACGACCCTGGCCCTGGCAGCTGCCGGCTGACTCTCAGAGTCGCTAAGAGCTGCCGTCGCCACGGAACCCCGCCCCGGCCGGTGGAGGAGGGGGGGGGGGGGACGGCGAGGGCGGTGTCAGGAGGAAAAACACGCAGTCGGTGACGGCGGCCCGTCACTCCAGGCACAGGCCGGACATTAACAGCCGGGTCGGTCGCGGCCGGCCCACCTATCGACCTGCTCCGGCGGCCGGTCCGAGGTCGGCCGGCCGGTCGGACGGCCAGCGGCTGAGCTGGTGCCACAGTCGCGAGCCACCAGTCAAGAGCAGGAGACTCAGTGCCGCCACCGCACGAAGCCAAAACAGGCCCGCTGACGGGGCTCGGATGTGTGTGGAGGGTTAGCTGCTATGCACGCAGGCTGTCTAAGCGCCTCCAGAGTATGACAAAGCTGTCCACGGCGGACACTATCATGACCAGTGATTTAGTAACCAAATTGAGGGACGAGACCAGCATGATGCCACCCTCCAATTTGCCCCACGCCCTATGCCCTCGCGCCAACCGGGCATGGCGTTGCATGCGAATGGCTTTTATTCATAGCATACCATTCCAATTATCATATTTCTCTCAAAGCGTTCAGAGCCAGACCGTGACTGCCACGGCGGCTCGGCGGCGGAGACAAATGTCCCGACCACACGTGGTCCCATCCCAAACTCCTTCTGGCGGTGAGAGGAGGACTGACAGCGTGATTCAGAGGCCGTCACCGGGTCAGTGCCGTATTCAGGCGCAGATGACGAGAAACTGTAGGGAAGAGCCAACATCTTGGTGAGAGAGACAGACGGGGTGATGAGGATGATCGCATATGGTGTGGGTAATGTGGGTAATCTGGCTAGCTGTCCGCCGCCGCCGTGAGACAGAACCGCCCTGTTTCTCGCTATGCGCGACTCCTGACAGCCAGTGCCCAAAGCGGTCGGTCGCCTGACGCCGTGACAGCACCGTCCTGTCCCTCACTCTCCGCGACTCCTGGCACAGCCAGGGCCGAGAGCGGTCGGTCGCCTGACGTCGTGACAGCACCGTCCTGTCCCTCACTCTCCGCGACTCCTGGCACAGCCAGGGCCGAGAGCGGTCGGTCGCCTGACGTCGTGACAGCACCGTCCTGTCCCTCACTCTCCGCGACTCCTGGCACAGCCAGGGCCGAGAGCGGTCGGTCGCCTGACGCCGTGACAGAACCGTCCTGTCCCTCACTCTCCGCGACTCCTGGCACAGCCAGGGCCGAGAGCGGTTCGGTCGCTGCGCCGTGACAGAACCGTCCTGTCCCTCACTCTCCGCGACTCCTGGCACAGCCAGGGCCGAGAGCGGTCGGTCGCCTGACGCCGTCGTCACGGAACCGTCTGCATAACAGCAGCAGCCGTCGCCGGCAGGCCCAGCGTCGACGGCGAACGGCTCGCGGCACCGCATAAAATAACCACACCCTGTGTGCGGATTCTGACAAACGCCCTCCGAGCCACGGCTAGGCGGCTATCAGCTGGTAACGAACACGAGTGGCACGGCCGTAGGTGGGAAGCTCAGGAGGGTGCTCACTACGGGTGTGAGGGCTTTTTGATATTCCATGTGAGTGTAATCTGCAATCCAGCGTCACACATGACCTGTCCAAGTGATGCGAGCGTCGTAGCCCGCAATGCAGCCCACGCCGGTCGCTGCGGTGACACCAGAGCGTCCTGTGCGGGGTGCGGCGTCCGGATCGGCCCGCGCGCCACAATCCTGAGCCCGAATCGCCTCCCATTGAGGGCGCTCAGCGAGCGCGGACCGTAATCAGTGATTGTCGGGAGCGCGGAGTGGCCGCGGTAAGTGTGCAGGACGCCCGGAGACAGGTGCTCCAACTGATGTGGCCGCCAGCGGCGCGACACAATCACAGAAGCGACATGCCTCGGGAGACGGGCCTGCAGTTCGGAGGGGCCGCACTGGACCCGCAAAACCGTTATAGAGGACCGCACGCATACCGGGTAGCTGCTCGGTGACTATGCAAAAACGCCTGCAGGGCTTACAAACGGGGCTGTCAGTACGTTACGTCAGCAAATACTGTAGGGAGGGCGATCCAATACCTTTCCAGCCGAGGTGGCAGACCCGGTTGACCTTGATGGTGACGGTGACCTTGTCCGACTTCTTCATGCCACAGTCGTAGGCCACGATGAAGAGGATGTGGTTGTGCGACTTCTCGTACGACAGCGGCTCAGTGTTGCGGATGGTACCTGAGGAGGATCAGCGGAGGCACACCGGTCAGCGTCACGGCCGGAACGGCGCAGCATTCACAGCGGTCAGACCTCATGTAGACATGTGAACAACAGACCGATTACGACAAACAGCGGCAGATCTCGCCCTCCGACAGAACGGACGGCTCTCGCATAGTCGCATAATTCAACATCGTGGCTTAGACTGCGAGCTGATCAACCGGGTACAGCAGATAGCGTCGCCGGGGATCCGTTGCAATTAACAGAGAAATCTGAGACAGCGAATCTTCTAAGAGTACACGGAATGACATTTATCTCACGCTTCTTTCCAAGTAGAGTCGTACGGTTAATGCTAAATTTCCCCAGAGATGGGCGTGGCTGCGTCCTCTGCGGCTTCCCCAATCCCTTTCCCGTCATTATGTCCACCGCTCCTGAGAAGAACTTGATATCAGCGGTACATGCTGCTCTCATTTAGAAGTACAGTAGTGATCTGCTAACGTGCGCACACAGAGACAAATTATAGCGTGTTGACAACGTAGGCCCACATGAGCCCCATATGCTTTATTAAAGGTGGCTTTACCTCAAACTGCCTGGCAAAAGAAGTCTCGTGAGGTCTTGTATGACCGCATGGCGCACGTACACTGACAAAAGTCTCTGACCGACCTACTTAACGTCATGACCCGCGGTCGCCACTCCACCGCTCCCTCGGGCGACCCCGCCCGCTCCCCTCCCCCCCCCCCCCCACTCCCCCGCCGCCCGATGCACGCCGATCCCCCGGGGGCGGTGGCGACGTGGGTCCAACTTTTCCAATTTGCGCCGGCCGCGACCGCGCCGGCGTCGTTTCTCATCGCGGCCGGGCACGGGTCCGCCCCGGCGCGTGGAGGACGCCGCCGAACGGGCGCCGCCGGCCGGCCCGACCGCGCCAATTCAACAGGCGGACAGGAGTCGGGATGGGCCACCGCGGCGCGCAGGAGAAGATTGGACACGGCCGACGACGCGTCGACGCCCGAAGCGTCATCCGACGTCGGTGTCGACGGCGGCGGCGGTCCGGCCGGCGACGAAGCAGCGGCGAAGGTGCGTCGCTGCCCGGGAGGGCCGGGAGGGTGCGGGGTGGGTGTTCCGGTCAGGCGGACCTGCGGTGTCCGATCGGCGGGTCGCAGGAACGAGCGCGCTGTTGCAAAGGTCGCTGACTCGTCGAGAGGACGACGAGGGGGCGGTGCTGACGTCTGTCGGGCAAGTGGCATGAATTTAAGGCGACAGCGGCGGAGAGCTTGTGCGGTCAGAAACGAACGGGGTCGACGCGGTGCTGTAGCTCTCAATCCAACTGGATGCGTCGGAAACATGCAGCATTTATTCTAATGGTGGCAGCCCGGTCCGTTGGCATGGACCGAGGGGTATACCGACAGCTTGTATAGCATGTGTATTCGGGTGTAAAAACAGGGAAAGTTCTTAAGTTGAGAGAGCATGTCAATTCACTTCTTAAGCTCATGCCGCTCTTTCTAATTTAGTCAGTTTACGTATTCTACGATTCTGTGTGTATTCTGTCCGAGTCTTGTGTGATGCCTTTGCCAATTTTTCTTTCTTTCTTTGCTTCAGTTTGTAATCGATCTACAAAAGTGAAGGTCATCAAATCTGGCTGCTATGGTGCTGATGTTTCAAACGCTCATGTTTCAAACACTTCTGGTTGCCGCAAATATTTGTTGTTAACGCTTAAAAGAGAGTTGTGTGATATTCCTGGTTTTCTAATCACTGAGGTGATTTTGATAGCAGCATATTCACAGTACACCCACCAGATTTGGTCTAACACTTTGAAGCATCAACATAAACCAACACACTGTTATTAGCTGCCAGCGGACGTTTCAAAGGGATTTTTTTCTCCGACAGCGGTTTGGAAACTATTTCACTTTCCCTTCTGCCTTCAGAAAACAGCATAAAAGGAACGCATTACGATAGGCTTTTTACGCGCTTCTTGTTCGATTTGTTTGTGGCAGGAGAAGGAAATGGATGAGGGAGTCCTGATGCTGAAATGGTTAACTAGGAAAGCATCAAACACAAACGTATGGGAAAGGGGTGACATGAAAAAAGCGCAACACGCCATCCAACCATGTCCAACCCTGCGCCATACACTCACGACAACGGGATGGTGCCGCGGCTTTATTGTAGTATGTAGGACGTCATCCTAATGAGAGATTATCTGTGTATAACGTGCTGGTCGCATGTGTATCTCAGGGGAGCCCTGGCAGGCGCCCTGCCCCAAGGGTCTCAGTACAACACTGATACACTATCCAACAAAATCAACATGGGTTACGCCCTGACAACACATGTCATCAGATCGGACTGTTCGTTCACAGCCCGCCTGGCTTAAAGCTAAAGACGATTAGCGGGAAGTCCGCGGGTCTACCAGCTGTCGATGTGTCACTTGGCTGACGAGGGCTGACTTCCGTTCTCGCATGCGACACAGGCGTTGCAAAACGAGGGGGTCGTTAGCACCACTCCGCGCCCCGTCCGTTAGCCAGTTGTGCGCCGGTGAGTAAACTTCCGCAGGCCAGGCCACCGCTATCACGCGGTCACTTAGTCACCGCGCGAAGGCAAGCAACGAACCCTGCTCTACGGACCAGTCCAGCCTGTGGCAGAACACACCCGGTCAGACGGATCATCCGGACCCGTTCAGTTTGTGTTTGAGTTCTACAGCAGTTACCCTCCCCTGCGGGGCGGGTAACTGCCACCGCTCACACGTACCAGCCGGCTGGCCATGTGCGCACATTTCGTCCGCCTTTGCCACCCCTCCCATCCCCCCCCACCCTTCTCCCCTGGCACCCTCCCGTGCGAGGCCCGCCTCGACCGACCACAAGGTGGGTACAAGCCACCCAGTGCCGCGTCACTCACGGTCAGCTGCCCAGGGCTTGGGTTGTGAAACCAGAGCCCGACCGGAAGCTGCCCTTCGCTCTCTTTTGCTGAGGCCGGACCCCCCCCCCCCCGCCCCCCTCCTACACGGCGGACCCCGCCCTCCGGGCACGGAACGAGCACCGGGTCGAAAACGAGCCCGCCCCAATAATGGCGGGGCGCTTGATTTAAAGCCGCCGAGGTGACTGCCGACCGGCGCGGGCAGATTGTCCGGGACCGCGGCCCGGTCCCACCGGCGTCAGGTGGAATTGAACGCCGCCTTCGCCGCCGAATACAGATCGCGGCGCGCATACCAAGTCGCGCCAGCATGCGAGCCGCGCCGAGAGCCGCTCGGGTCTCCGCCCGCTGGGAGTTCTCGGTCCTCAAGCCACTTCAGCCGGATTAAAAGCACTCGGCGCCGAAATTCGCACGGACGCCCCTCGCGTAGATGGCGCGGAGTTCCATTTGGTTCCAACTTCGAACGTGCATGGTGCTTGAGTGCTGGTCCTCATCACGCGTTGTTTGACGGCGCTGTGTCCGGATTGTGAGTGATTGTACGCGCGGGCTACTTTGTGCCCCTCTCGTTCATCACGTCGTATCGGCGGGCCAGACATTAGAGCTCGGCGTCCGAGTTCACGGCGTTCTAATAATGAACCGACCACTTGGGCTGGGCGAATGCTCGAATACAGAAATCGTGGCAAATACGGACGTATTTGTAACCATTCAGCCGTGGCACCACGGGTAAAGCAAGTGGCGTGGTAGCTGTGACAGTGGCTGTATGAAATAAATAAACTTAACAAATCTCAACCATTTTTCATCAAAAGCGCCTGATCAAGCAGCCCTCTCCACCAGGTCCTCGCTTCTTTTTACATCGCTGCGTAGCGCTGTGGTACAAGCATTATGTCGCAATAATGGTACGCCCTTGGTGTGCCAGAACCCCCCCCCCCCCCTCCCTGCACGCAGGAGCCACAGATCCCAATGCCTGTTGGGAATTCGCAACATAAAGATGAAACGACTGACAAAAAGAACATCATACAGATCAAAGGTCGCAACCCTCCAGACATGCACACGAAGCAATAGGCAGGTTCACTTTTTGTTAAGTTTTAAAGTTACAAAAAAATAACGCCAAACGGCAGTTTTTCGTTCCGACCTTCCACGCTGACCTTCGGTCTTCACCCGGCAACTGTGCTTTTGATATACAACGGAACCGGTCATACGTGTTGGTGCTTTTAGCCGCCATAGATTCACCTGGAAGTAGATTCCACACCATGTACAGCTTATGAGTATTCAGATTTACCCTCAAAGCAATTAAATACGGCAACCGAACCGAAAATCTCAGCTCCCACACATATTCTACGTAAATCTCGCCGAACTTAAAACGACAGACGACCTCAAAGATCCGGTCCGGGTAACTGAGAGCGGAACAAGTGGCCAGCCGCGGTCCCAGGCTAGATCCAGAACAGCTGCCTCCACGTCACCGCAACACCTACGGAGCCAGGACGCCGGATCCCGACCCGAACTAGGACCAGATCCCAAGGACCGGGATCGCCGGATCTGAAGCCCAAGGACCGGTATCCCCGGATCCGGAACGAAAGAACAGGGATCTCCGGATCCCGATCCGAGCCAGAACCAGACCCTAAGGACCGGGATCCCCGGATCCGCAGCGAAAGAACAGGGATCTCCGGATCCCGATCCGAGCCAGGACCAGTCCCCAAGGACTGGGATCGCCGGATCCCGACCCGAGCCAGGACCAGACCCCAAGGACCGGGATCCCCGGATCCGGAGCCCAGGACTGGCCGTCCCAGGTCAGCCCAGCGGCCGGCAGAAGCGCACCCACCGCGGCCGGTGCTCAGCGCTGGTGCGTGCCGGCCGACCTGCGGACCGGCCGGGTCGGCTGCCGCATGTCACCGGCTCGTTAGACCCCGCCGAGGTCATCAGCGCTGGCGGCCGGCGTGCTCGCCCTGCCAGCCGTGTCAGGCCACCGTCCACACCCACCGCCGGGGGGGGGGGGGGGGATCCATGGAGCGGCGCGAGCGCACCTCATCAGGTACTGTCAGGAGGCCCCGCCGGCGGTCCGACCGCACGGTGTGACACCGAGCTTAGCCGGTCCGGCCCAGGCGACTGGTACGGGCTGCTCCAAACAACAATCCGGGAGGCAGCATAGCAGCCTGGTTCGGCTGCGGTTAGCAAATAATTGCGGCTGGGACGTATCACGCTGCGCCAAAACCGCAACCGGGATCAAAGGAGATATTTAGAGATGTTAAAGAGATATATAAAGATATTAAAGGAGATATTTCTGCATGTCGGACGGACGTTTGGGATACGGCCCATAAGCCCAGTACTGATTAACGGGGCTTGACGCGGATGTGGCACGATAATGGCTATAACGCTCTACCCGGCTCTCCCCGGATCGTTGCAGAACTTAATGCGCCGGCAAAGCCTCGCGGAGCTACCTCTGCGTCACGTAATGAGACGTTGGCGCATTTATCTTGATTCTCTCCGGTGAATTCGGCCACTTTCTTTTGAGAGTTCCAGGAAGTCGGTCCGGTCCGACTGAGCAGAAATTTCCGTTTCATTCCATCATTAAGGCGGCATCGATTCGCGGGAATTAATGGTGGCTCACGACGGTGCTGGGCAGTCGCGGAGAAGGACCGGCCTGATCTGCCAGGGATGGGCTCTGGTAGCGCGGGACGTTATCAGAGCTCGTCGGTGTCGCACACCAGCCCGCCAGGTCAGGTCACGCCACATTGGGTCAGCTAAGGCCAGGTCACAGATGGGTTCTGCTAACGCGGGGCGAAGTCGCACACCAGCCCACCAGGTCAGGTCACGCCACATCACGTCAGCTCAGGTCAGGTTAGGTCACCAAAGCCCTGGCCCGCTCCTTCCCATCCCGCGGCAACCGGGGGAACGGAGGCCGGCCAGGCGTCAAAGAAGGCCCTACCCAGATGGGACAGCATGGCCCAACCGAGTCCGCTGCACCGCTTCCGTCCTGGGAGGTGCACAGCCGGTTTAAGACCGGTGCAACGGTCTCCCGCTGTTATTCGAATGGGCAGACTGTCGCATGTGACCTTCCGGTCTGTAACGATAAACCACGTGTGCCGGTGAAGGTCGCTGTGGTTTTAATAAGAACTTTCTGAAGCAAACATTCCGTAGTTGGCTATACGAACACAAACTGGTGCCGCTTCTTACTAAGCATGCAGCCAGAATTGTTGTCCGGGGAGGGCAGATTTGCCCGAGTTCTCATCGGTCGAAATCTTAAGGAGGGACACGGTTGCATTTAGTGTAAACATCTTGACTCAGTGGGAGGAGGATATGACCTCCTCCCCTGCCCCTCCCCCCCCCCCTCTCCACCCTCGGCTTCGTCTCTGCTTTTCATCTCGATAATCAACGTGACGTATAACGAGAGGGGATCGTGCTATTTCTGACAGCTTATCATTAAAATACAGGAGCCCACGCTGAGCGCCAGTAAAGCCACTTACTGCCGCTCGAAAAGCGAAACTCGTAAGCCCGTGTCTCCCCATAAATAGCCACCGAGTTCATTCTGCGAGCTCCTACGCCGCAGACGGCCCCACCACGCTTCCGTCAGCACGGCGCGTCAAAGAACACTAAATAGGTCGGCCTCGTCCAAATACGTGCCTCCCAGCCTGACAGCCTCAGCTGCGATATGATTGAAATACACCCGCGCAGGGTTCACTTAAACCAGCCACCCCCGCACGCTCAGCGCGCCTGGGGCCTTGAAGAAGCCGGCGCCACCTGTGTGCCATGAGTTTGGCGCCTCACATCGGTACTGTTTGCGGTGGCTGCAGGGTCCGTGTTCGCATGACCAAGGCCACATGTGACGGCGTCAAGAACGAATCAAAATGGCGCCGACCGAAATGTTACGGTAAATCCAGAGCTAAAAAAAGAATCCCACATCCTGAGGAAACTAGACAGGTGTTTGACGTCTGAAATTGCCGTGTACATCCGGAATAGCAGGCTGTATACACCCCAGAATTACAGCAAAGACAATAACAGCTATCCCTACGACAGGAAATCCCGAACACCTGAGAATAGCAAAAGCACAGACTGTTCTTGCCGTACTTCCAAACACGAGTAAGCTCGAAGGTGAGATGACGCAAGTCTTACGCCGCAACTTCCCGCATCTTATGACAAGCTATGATCCAATAAGCACTATGTCTACTTGCATACATCCTACAAGTGAAGCTCATGGGCAAAGTTGGCTCATTGAGAGAAAGGTGTTCAGGTCTTCAGCCAAACTTTGTCAGAAGACCATCCAGCTGCAGAGCAGTATGATGAGCTGAGTGCTCACGTTCTCTAGTGTGACGCGAGGGCGTCCTCCGGCCCGCCCTCAACAGAAGTCCCTTCCAGCGCATAGCTACGCTATGACTCGCGCTCTTGCTGCTGCTGTTAGCCGCACTCAGCGCTTCCCAGTACACGAGCCACCCGGGATCGTACGCGAAGGAGTCCCAGAAGACGGGCCATCCCAGACGTAAGAAAGTTAGTCCGGTATCCGCCGGGTCGATGCCTCTCAGGGTCGGAGGTTCTGCGGCACGCCCGGCGTGACCCGCGAGCCACGCGCAGCCGCGGGGTCGTGCCCGCGCCGGCCCGCCCCGCCAGCTGTGACCCATGGCCTGCCGGCGACGGCCGCGAAGTTCACTGGTCCGCTCGAACACGATCGGCGGCTACTAAAAAACCCGGAGGGAGGAACTGGCATGCCTGACCTGAAGGCCGAGTCAAGCAGCCGCGCCGATATCTGACGTCTCAGCTGAGGGGTCGGCTAGCAGAGGTCACGGCAAAATCGCTTTGCCGCCACAAGCGGAGCCCACACAACCAACATCGGTAGAGCTTTTGTGCAGCCCACATGGCAGAGGACCCACAATGGCACGCCGCCAATCGCGCCCCTCACTGGTCTCCGATTGATGTTGAGTCCATCGTCAATGGTGTTTAATACTGTCGTAGTTTAGCAGCTGAGTCGGGAAAGTGAAGGTCTGAGCGCAGCCCAGGGATTACAACTCGTTCTGGCTGCTGAAGTTGACGCACACAGATCGCTGGTGAAGCGTGACCTCGCTCTGTCTGTTGATGATGACGGAGACGCCGCTACTGCGAGGCTCGGAGCTTCACAGCCTGTCCTCACCGCGGCTGCTTTCGGTGAAGAATGGACCATTGTCAGCGTACTTAAGTATGGACTGTCCCTGGCTGATGATGACGAGCGGCCGGAGCCCGCCTCAACGTCACACTGACCCTGGCTGTTGATGATGAAAGGCTGGTCGCTGCTCAGGATCTCGTACTGGCAGATGTCGCCGTACTTGGGCGAGCAGTCCTTGTCCTCGGCCGACACCTGGACGATCTCGTCGTACAGGCGGCCCTCGTCCACGTCCAGGATGTACGAACGCTCGGTGAAGCGGGGCGCGAACTCGTTCACGTCCTCCACCTCGATGTGTACCGTCACGCTGCAACAGCAGGGTGGGACGTTAGCGCCGCCAGTATCACCGCGTGCGGCCCGTGAGGCCATGGTGCTCTATATTCTCACCATGGCTGCGGCTTGGAGCCTGGCAAAATGCGCACCACGCAACAATGCACTGCGGATTCCGGCCTAGCATCGTGACGCGACATGCACATGGCATGCTGCGGCCGAAGGACTTTGACAGCACATGAGGGTGACGAACAGCGGGCAACGGCACGGATGGGAAAGGTCTATGCATGGAGCCGTGATGAATGCTTGTGCAGACAAGACCCCAACGCGATCTCATCTCCGTGATGACAATGGGCTTCACTCAGCTGCGCCAGTTGGCAATCTACCCGGACCGTACAGAGAGCGGCGGCGACCTCACCATCAGGTTATTAACCAAATTTGGTGAGCCACGTAGCTCGGCACGAAAGTCGGCCCCAGCCCTGCGCTCGGCGGCTGCCCCGATGGCCCCAGCGGGACCGTAAAGCTATCCACTCCTCGACTGCAATGGCCGCTGTGAGATATTTGACAGCCGGAGGGCACACGCCAATGACAGCGTTGGGTACGGCACGTATGTACTCTGGCACGTCATGGTGTGCGCGCCGACACGTCACGGCATGTACGCCGACTCGCCACGGCATGTACGCCGACTCGCCACGGCATGTACGCCGACACGTCACAGCATGTACGCCGACTCGCCACGGCATGCACACGGACTCTCCATTGGATAAGCAATAGCCAAACTCTGCTCTCCGAGGCTGAGTGACTCTGGTGAAATAGCGACTTTCTGGACTGCGTCTTTATTTTAAATGTCAACTTAAATGCATAGACCAAGCCCACGATAAATAATAGGGCAGACTCAATTGCACATCAGCTGGGAATATACCTGATACCCCGCATCAGACAGGCGCAGCCACCATCTGGTGGAAACTGGACCTCACAACAGCCAGTCTTACACAGAACGTGACGTGTGTTGCTGGTGATGGCAATCAGGAATTCTAGTGGTTGTCAAAGGAAAACAAATGGCCTGAACGGTTGAACTCGGGTTGTCGAATAGTTGTTGAACAGTTGTCGAACTCAGTACGGTTGAACAGCTCTGGGAATGCCACATGTCTTTGCCGGTAGTGAGTTCGCGCGGAGGCGGGGAAAACACGAGCCATAATCACATATCACGGATAGCCGGTCTGTTCCTTCGCGCATTGAAACGGGGATTAAGCGACCCAAATGAACAAAGTTGCGATGCTCCTTTGCATTGCCCAAGTTGCCCAGTATCTAGTGCCGGAGTTTCAGCAAGTTTCAAATTGACGAGCGCCAGGCTGTCAAGAGATCCGGCTGAGATCCATCATATGGTGCTAACAAGCAGGCGGCGGGGGGCTGGCAGCCAACGCTCGCCAGCGCTGCACCCGGCGGGGGAAGAATGCATCGAATACGCTGCGCATCGCACACCCTGAGACCGGCAAGCCCTTCGTGGAGACTGGACGGGCATGTTGGACGCTGAGCAGAGCTCTGTCTTCTGCCCTCCAGCATAGACGAGGGTGCTTCCCAGTCATTCAGACATTTGTGTGCAACGAACGCGTCTTGCTCCGTGTTCGCCGGTCGTCTAGCTCCTGTGATCACAGCTCGGGCGTGACTGCCTGCACGCCTTGTAGCTGCCATGGTTACGTACCGACGATAATAAACTTATTCCCAAGGTCGGAGATATACCGCTGGGGTGCAACAGACGTCATAAGCACACGGGAGGACGGGCCGCGTGCATAAATCAGAAGCGCTTGGGCGACATAACGACGGGCTTGCACGCTGTCAAGCGTCCTTGCATAGAAGTTGCTGGTCACAGTCGCGGCAGGCAAAGGATGAGAGAATACGCAACACAGCCACCGTCTTTGTTATGACGTATTTAACCTCACAGATCAGCAAAATGGATAAGGACATTGCAATAGACGCCCGCTCGCCGCGCACCAGCCGACATCTGGCGGAACTACGGCGGTAGGTGCTGCCATCTGCATTCCAGCAGTGGAAAGACCCCGAACGGTCTGGGTCGGACTTGGACCTGGTGTGATTAGATATAAGACATTTGCTTCGGAGGAAGGGGGGTTTGTTTGAGCTGCGGAGAATGTTTCGTGAATCAGTCAGTGTGCCCAAACGGCCCCGGAGAATGGTGCCATGGAGACCGAAGTATCTTCGCCAAAGCCAGAATGGAGGCCAAAATTGTCGAAAAATTCGACCTTGAAAAGGAAGACCGAAATTGCACAGTGAGCCCAAAACTGCGATACCAAATTGCCCGTAAGAGGCGCCTTTTACCATAATCTTGAATCTCGACGCACTGGAATAAATATCGTCAGCACAGACGTGCACCAGCATGCTCGATGCTATTCGACAAGCCGGATGCAGCCATGACATTTGACATGGGACTGGTCGTGCGCTGGTCCTGCAGTATCGCCAGGTTGTATAAGGATGCTGTCATGCGGATGGCGGGATGCTGGTCTGCTTCGTATTCGAGTATGTGGTTTCAGTCGCACTGACCGTTATCAGCACCTTCTGACGACAATGCACGCCTTCCATTTTTTCCGCACGAACTTGTCCATCAACTAATACGAAGCTCTCTATTATTCGATCTCCATCTTTCTGCTCGGCTGTGCTGGCTCACGATCGCTGAGCTTATTTGTTCGGCTTCCCAAAGCCGATCACCATCGAATTCTGACAGCTATGTTATCACTTCATTCATCGACGATGGAATCAGTCCGCGCCGACAAAATATTAGTCGACTAAACAACGGAGCTGATCAAAAATCGCCAATTCACCCGTTAATTGCATTTTACTGCATGGCGAGAGGTGGATGGAAAAGAGAGCACCACAAATTCACTCAGTCACGGAATGTAGTTCTGACTACCAGCTGGTGGTCTTTAGCCGGTGGTTCTGACCACCAGCGTAACCACTCACCGGCTGACCAAAGAGCTCTGGCCAATTAGCGTGCATACTGTAAAGCCGCAAACTGCAGCAAAGCATCCAGCCGATCCGCTGTTCAATAATCTGAGTGGTGCATCCTGCCATTACGTCATTCGATTTCTCGGACATGAGTGAACAACGATGGGCTGCGATAAGCTTTCCCTCGCGCGGTCGAAATGGTCCACACCAAATATCTGCTCCGGACAGCTCCTCCTCCTACTCCAGCTCCTCCTTCTCCAGCTCAGGACAGCCCCAGCCTGAATCAAGGTCCGTGCATTGCTGGAGAGCACTGCAATGCGTGCGGCTTTTCCGGACGAGGCACACTGTCGCCGTTTATCCTTCTCACGGACAGGTGGGGCACATTTGATGGGCGCTGTCCTCCATTGTATTTCCTTTCTGTCGGCGGCGGACGTTGTTTTCCTGGCTGCCGTGCAGCGCAAACAGCGACCAACTGAATCACGCAATCCTTCGTGTCCGGCCTGACGTGGCTGGACTACAAAACAAAGCCAGTCGGAAGCAGATGCCGCCAGGACAGCGCCATGTTACACTGGTCTGGCGGCTGGCGCACGACCCCGCTACCCAACCGGCGCACTGGTGGGCCGTCATCACCATGACGATGGTGATGATGATGGTGACCATGATGGCGAGGATGATGATAATCGTATTATCACTCAGGTATTATCACCAACGGTACCACCATAACCACTATCATCAGTATGATGTATTAAGTAGCAAATCACCATCGCCACTACTTGTGTATCCATATTTGTATTTAACTACGAATATGGTGGCAGTAACGCACTGTCTAAAAACTGTCCGCTTTAAGAAATCGTGACAGTCCGCGATCGGGTTATGCCGGGCCGCGCTTCCCGCTATAGAAATGTCCCTCGCCCGCAGCTCTGTCACAATGGATAACTTACCTCAGTGCATGAATCTTCGCGTGTATAGGCAAAGCATTTGAGAGCAGAAAGGCTCTCTGATGACGTCGCCCTGGTCAGGGATGTGCCGTGCGATTATAAGTCATGTTGATGCGTGAAAGGTCACAATGGAAAGTTGAGATGCAAGATTCTGATACTTTTTATCCGGAACGCGGCGTTCATCCCCAGTGAAGTGGAAAGATAGAAACGAAGAATCTGTATCTGTATCCACGTGTTTTGTGTTCTGGAAGTGAACCGTATGGCAGACAACAACACAAATGGCAAAAAAGAAGTCGAAACGACGAATACTTGAGGTCGGAAACATCTAACATTCATTTGGCATCGGATGCATCACTGAGTTTAAAACCGACCACATTGCATGTGGGCGAACCTCTAGCTACTGGGTGACCAATTTTCTGCAATCGTGGTAAGTCGTCAGAAATCGGCCACGTTCTGCAAGCTTGTTCCAGAGACGTACGGCGGTAGGGTTTAAGACTCATGATGGGATGTTGTACGGTTGCGGGAGGGAGTCAATGTACGCATTTCGGGGTGTACTGCCCGCATCATGCTATGTGTTGCGTGGCGTGGATCGCATGCAGTCCTACACGCTTGGTTCGCTGCGGAGTATGCAATGCAAACAAAGTTAATAAAACCTAGTATGTCTGTTGGTGCTCGATAGCACGTCCATGTGATAAATATAGATGCCTTGCTCCATGTCTTCGCGGGCCTGGTGCTTTGTACAGTAAAGTCACGTGTCATGTCACGTCACGTCACGCCACGTCACGTCACGTCACGTCACGTCACGTCACGTTACGTCACGTCACGTCACGTCACATATCACGTCGCAACAGCCGAAGACAGGGGGAACGTAAGTTTTAAATGCTATGGCAACAACTGTCCGTAGTAAATGGCTGGACGTCGGGTACAATACAAAATGGGCTTCCTTTTTAAAAACGGTACAAACCAAGTCAATAAAGATGCTATTGTACCGTTACCACAGAGATGGGTTGGCCACCGCATGCAAGCTGGAGTGCATGTCTTTGCCGCGTTAGATGTATTGGTATCGTCCGAAAACGTGCGTTTGGTTTTGAAATCACGGTAAGCTCCAGTTTGATTCAGACGAGTTATTAGATATAGGTAA